CGGGTAGCCCCCGATTGCAAGTCTATAGCGTTACTGTTACAGAAACCTGCTCGGTGCTAGGCAATTTGACTGCACGCCACTGCTGTCAGGAGATGGATTACTTGCTGATCGGACGACACACCAGCCCCACCTGGAGTTGCAAGACAGTGTGTACAGTAATGTGACACTTCTTGGGGAGAGCCTGAAAGGAAGTGAAAACCGCCTACAGTCTGTCTGTCTATCCACTTGTCTCTTCAAATTATCGTCCCTCAAATTAATTAAATCTGTTGGACAAAGCTATTTTTGAGAATGAACTTCCTAACATTTTATAGAATCCGAAGTTTCATTCCATGTTCATAACGGTCTGCCTTTGGCCCCTCTCCTGAACCCATTCAATCTAGGCACCACCCTCACACCCTACTGCTCTAAGGGCTATTTTTAATAGCCCTTAGATAATACGTGTATTATCTCCCATCCACGCCTATGATTCCCTTACATCCACTCTCCTCCGGGGTTTCCGTCCAAAACTGTGTAGGTATGCCTAACTTTACCCTTCCACTGTGTGCTGCACGTTCATCCATTCATGTTATCGTCCTAACAGTATCACGTGCCTATCCCAGTGTTTGCGCGGTTGGAGTCAGCTCGAAAAATAGAAACGTACTTGTAGGTTCGAATTTCTGTCGGTGCATGGATGTATGTCTGCGTTCTTTCTGTGTTTGTATTGTCCTCTATAGGCTGAGACTTTGCGATGGGCCGATCCCCGTTCAAGGGGTCTTACACATTGTCTATAAAAAGGTAAATTGTTCCTCTGATAAATTAGCTAAGCACTATTCTCGTTACTCAATGGATAGGAGGCTGGGTGGGCCCCAGAGTCGGTCTGGACGTTGCGGAGAAGAGAAAAATCTTGCACTGCCTGGAACGCAACCCGGTTCATCCAGCCCATAGCCCCATTCGTTACACCAAGTGAGCTATCCAGACTCCTGCAGATTATAGATACTATTCACAATTTCATAAGTTAATTCTGAATTGTAACGGGCCAAATTGCCTAGTCAATAAGAAGAAGAAGGAGGAGGAGGAGGAGAAGAAGAAGAAGAAGAAGAAGGAGGAGGAGAAGAAGAAGAAGAAGGAGGAGGAGGAGAAGAAGAAGGAGGAGGAGGAGGAGAAGAAGAAGAAGAAGAAGGAGGAGGAGGAGAAGAAGAAGAAGAAGGAGGAGGAGGAGAAGAAGAAGGAGGAGGAGGAGGAGAAGAAGAAGAAGAAGAAGGAGGAGGAGGAGAAGAAGAAGAAGAAGGAGGAGGAGGAGAAGAAGAAGGAGGAGGAGGAGGAGAAGAAGAAGAAGAAGAAGGAGGAGGAGGAGAAGAAGAAGAAGAAGGAGGAGGAGGAGAAGAAGAAGGAGGAGGAGGAGGAGAAGAAGAAGAAGAAGAAGGAGGAGGAGGAGAAGAAGAAGAAGAAGGAGGAGGAGGAGAAGAAGAAGGAGGAGGAGGAGGAGAAGAAGAAGAAGAAGAAGGAGGAGGAGGAGAAGAAGAAGAAGAAGGAGGAGGAGGAGAAGAAGAAGGAGGAGGAGGAGGAGAAGAAGAAGAAGAAGAAGGAGGAGGAGGAGAAGAAGAAGAAGAAGGAGGAGGAGGAGAAGAAGAAGGAGGAGGAGGAGGAGAAGAAGAAGAAGAAGAAGAACGATAGGTGAGGAGTACAGATTTTTAAGTTTCTCATCATGCACGTAATCTTCCGTAACTCGTTCTCTTGATTAAATATTTTTCATGGCGCTTGTTCTCAATAACCCTTAATCTGTGTTCTCGTGTGGAGAGAGGCCATGTTGTGTTATGTACCTATACAAAATGAAAGGTAGCAGAATTTTCAGACAATCTGATCATTGCCAACAAAACAGTAACTATGGGCAAATATATGACAGTGTTTTGAATTGCTTCATCTTTGGTCCGTTACACTATCAATCACAAAGTCAATAGAAAGTCCGTCGAGTGTAACAATGTACACAACATACAACGCATAGGAAACATCTGACCATAAGCCTATACAACCTCAAGTTGACATCTCCCATCATCGGGATGAATTAACAAGGAGGAGCCTAACATTTTACTTCAAATGTTTTAAACTTTTAAATATTTTAACATTGACGGCTTAATTTGAGGGCAATTTCGGATGGAATGCGAGAGTTGAACGTGCATTCCACATTCCTAGCAAGTGTTGTGCTTTTACACATCGACAATTGTAGCAGCGTCCACGCAGCATATATACTGTGTACATTTAAACAACGCCAGTGTTTTCATGTGTTTGTAATATGTGCCTCTGATGATGGTTTTATTAAACCGAAACATGTAAGGCAAATGTGATAAAGAAGTGACCTAAAAACATTGTTACACTCGACGGACTTTCTATTGACTTTGTGATATGACAGTGTATTCATTCTCTTGAACACGTCAGAAATTTGGCTACCGTAGGAAGGAGCACGGTTCGTGAAATCTGTAAAATTGTCTTTATGGCAATGAATAAAAAATATTTATGTATGAAGTAAGTTCCATGCTTCTCCTAAAGTAAGCCGGAGGCGTCCTCTTTCTGTTGCGGCAACGCAATTTCCCGTTATGTTTATCTGTTTCCGGTCGTATTATAGTTACCATAATTCTCTTTAATTGCTTGTTAGGGCAACGAAATTCTGCGATATGAATACACGTCAGATATTTTGCGAACTCTGTTTCCTTTCTCTCTGCTTGTCATGACAACCTCTTGACGGAAGAAAACAGTACAAATCCCACAGACCCAGTAAAATGGCTTAGCTGGTAATGCTTCTTACTTGTATTCGGGAGGCGTAATATTCGAACCTCGGCCGGAGTACAGAATATCCTGTCTGATTTTTTTTTCTTCAGTCCTTCCAGCCGAATACTGGGATAGTCACATTAAGTCCACGACGGATCCTTTCTAGTTCATTATTCACTATCACCAGTCATACACTCTGAGTTACTGACAGCGTCGTTAAATAACCACAGATAAATAAATAAATAAATAATCCTGCTGCTTGACTTACGGTTTTCAAGGATTCTAGAAACTTAACTATGTAATCCGTATGTGTGTAATTCTCTTGTGTTAGAACCTGAAGATTCAGCACTCGCCATTGGACACGAGCCTGAGCCAGTTCCATCCATGTGCCACTTTCAAAATTTATCTCCGTAATTTGGAACTAATTTGGAACTTAATGTTTTCCTCTCATCTCCTCAGTATTCCAATCGACCCCTCTCCAAAAGAATGTCTTGCAAAATTATGTATGCATATTTTATTGTGTCCATCTGAGCTACATACTCCTTCGTGGTTTCATTACCCTGAGAAACCTTAAAAAGCCTGGAGGTTATTCTTTGTGTAATAATCGTACAGAATGATTCGAAATTATTGTCGAGGTCTCTGTGGCCTATAATTTTCAAACTGGGAAAATAAAATAAAACTGCTTATGGGATAAGAAAGTGTAACTGAAAAAGTTTTATGGTGTTTATGGTGTTCCAGTAAGATGGTATTGTATGGGTTCGTATGGTCCGAGAATTTCTTGAGATGCATTTTCCTGGGAGCTGGGTTGGGAGTGATGAACCAATTTCGTGGCCTCCGCGCCCACCCGAGATTACGCCTCTTGATTTCTTCCTATGGGGATACGTCAAGGACAATGTTTACAAATTCCTGTGACCTCCTTCGATGAACTGAAACTGAGAATATTTGCTACGATCGAAACAGTTGCGCCGCAAATGCTGGAGAACTGAACACCTTACGTGCTAAAACAGGCGCGCATGTTGAAGTTGTTCAGCACTCTGCAGTATTGATTCTGTAAGTAATAAAACTTTTTGAGTCACATTTTCATATTACATTAGCAGTTTTTTCTTCCTTCCGGCTTGAAAATTATAGGCCAAGGAAGTTCTGACAATAATTTAGAATCGCCCTGCACGAGTATTTTATCCTAATGCTGGCAGTCCCATATATTCCGTGTCTGTAACATCTTTGATGATGCGTCATCATCAGATAGTGACGAACATCGTTACATCATCAACCTACGTTGAGAACAAAAATCTCCACACCGGAGATTTTGTTGAATACACAGGATTATGCTTCACTAAAGTTGCCTACTGAAGGTATGAGCGTATGACGTACCGTCAAAGATGATTTAGATGTACAATGCTCAGTACAAATGATTAGACTGTTAACTAAGCATTCATCCTGTATGTGCCATAGCTAAGGCGGTTAGTCGCCGGCTTCCCACTGCGGCGGCCTGGATTCGATCACAAGTCAAGTCATGTGGGATTTGTAGTGGAAAAATTGGCACTGGGGCAGGTGTCCTCGTAGTATTTGGTTTTCCAATTCACATTCGACCAAATGCTCCACGCTCTTCTGTCATCCAGGGCTGGTACAATAAGTCAAATAGTGGCCGACGTACCAAGTGGACTCAGTCTCATCCCACCCTACGGTCTCATCCCACCCTACGAAAAGAAAATAACTTTCAACCAATCATTAACACTCTTCGCCTGTAATATTGTCTAAAATAGCTGCACATACAGATCAGACTCTGATCACCGTACAGCCTGCTGGTTCTTCACTCCTGAAATTTCCGTATTCCTTGAATTCGTTCCTTAATATAAATGTGAACTCATTTCGCCTCGTCCATTATATTATGACCAAGCAGGGAGATGTAACGGTAATGTTCTTGAATTTTTCGACTCGAATCACGGCCGGAACACCTATCCTGACAGGGTTTTCGCAGTTTTCCTCAGTCCTTCTAGGGAAATGCTGCGATAGTCCCTCGATTAGACACCGACTGATTCCTTTTGAAGTCCTTTCCACTTCATAATTTATCCTACAATTCCAGGCTATACAATCTAAGATACTGATAACATCGTGAACTAAACCACAAAATGAATATGTATATATGTTTGTGTGTGTGCGTGTCGATAATTTCAAGCAATCGATAGGTCGAGAGTGCGAAGTATCAGCGGTACCCTGATCCGTGGTCAGTGGTATGATTCAGCCGATTCAACCTGCTCACAGCTTACCACGCCAGTCGCATCATGACCGCCATCGCGTGCGCAGCATTACTTTCGGTCCTTTGCACCGGCACAGTGCTGCCAACCTTCGCCATAAAGTACACCTACGAAACCAAGTATGTGGATGTGCCAGTAAGTAACACTGTAGCTCTTTTTGTCTCGTATTTTTCTTGTTGACTCAAAGGTTATTTAACCCACTCCATACCGATTTTCTTCTAAGAACCTTCTTCTGTGGGGCACGCGGTAGCGTAGTTGGTTGAGGGACTATGCTACAAGCCGGAAGGTCGCGGGTTCAAGTCCCGATGAGGTCATTGGATTTTTTTCAGTTGACCTAACCCTTCCAGCCGCACTATGGCCCTGGGGTTCACTCAGCCTCTAAGAGAAATGAGTACCAGGAATTAATTAAATAATTTTCCTGGGGAGTAAAGCGCGGCCGGCGCATAAGGCTGACAACCTTACCGCCATCTTTGAGCCCTCAACGTCTCACAACCCTATGGGTCTTCACGGCCTGGTACAGGGATAGCTTTCCTTTACTTTACCTTCTTCTGTACGTCATGCATTAAGTAGGCAACTTCGCAGAAGAAAAGTTGTGCTATCTCCCTATGTCGGTCTTGGTTCCCACGGTATGTTGATAGTAGGTGTGATAGCTTCATAACGATGACGTAACAAGCACATCGCTGCCAGATGGTGTTGCAACCTCCAAGATGATTTGGACACAGAATAGTAAATTTCCATGGTAACGTATTTCTGTTATTGAAAAGCCAGGAATAGTTGCCTAAAAGTGTTGAGAGATGGCGGAAAAGTTTCTTTCGCTGATCTCAAGCATCAAAGCAGAGTCCGATTGTTTTAAGCGAGTTAACTCGTGCATAGGGTGGAAATGGCTAATAACGTAGACTACACGTGTTAATATATGGCTGAATGTAACAGGATTCGATAAGGCTGTGCGTTCTTCAGGGCACAATATTGCTATGCCATTTAATTTGGTTTCGGAGGAACCTACTACCTTTAAGATTGAAGATTTCACTCTTATACCTTCAGGCAGCAGGTTCCTGCAACACGATAAAAGGTATTTACCAAATTACACGCATCATATCCCATAAGACGTAATCTTAATGAGTGAAATCGGTAACTTGACTTTCAAACGTAGGTCAGTGATTATACTGAGTTGCAACACTGTAACTAAAGAGGTGTAGAGGAGATGGAGAAAATTACAGTATGAGGAGCTACATGCTTTGTGTTGTACCCAGCCAGATGATTTAAATGATAAAGCGATTGACTTGTATTCCGCAGCTGAGCTGCTCGAATCTTGGACCTGACATAGAGTATTCTCAGGTATTCATGGTATTCCTCTTCCTCCAGGGAAATGACGGAGCAACGTGGCTCAAGCTGTAACTACTAAAATATATTCGGGAGGTGCCGGATCGAATCTCGGCAGCCACACCGTCTATAGTGACTGTTGATTTTTGTGCTTATCCTCAGTGTCTCGAGGAAAATTCCAGGATACCACCTTGAGTTAGGCCACGACCTCTTCCTTCCACTTCCTTTCGAATTTAGTATTCACTAATTATCTAAGCATTCGTCGCTATACAGACTAAGATACTGACTGCGCCGTTGAATACACTAAAAACAAAATCCAGGCAAATGTCGCCATGTTGAATTTGATGCTCTCACGGCGATTGCTATAAAGGGTACGGTCTTCTAGTTGTAACGCCGTGTTGTTCGGAGAGAACCTGACGTTTCGGAGGAACATATCTCCTCGATCTTCAGGGTCGAAGAGCAAGCCAAGCAAGAAACCAACAGAAACAGGTGGTTACATTTGTCGCCTGCTTCTCCTCGTTCCTTCCACTTCTCTCTCTCCGAACTACACGGCGTTACAACTCAGAAGGCCACGCTCCTTAAATTCTGGGATGTTGCTCAAAATAGGCCGTGACCGCTTCCTTCCCCATCCTTTCTACTTCATTGTTAATTTTTTTTATTATTGCTAGTGGGGTGGGACTAAGCCCTTTGCACTGCAGCCACTCCTGGTCTGTTGTACCAGCCCCAGATGATAGGTAAGGGTGATTATGGAGCAATTGGTGGAATGAATATTGGCAGAGGAAACCGAAGTACTCGCAGAAAACCTGCCCCAGCGCCACTTTGTCCACCACAAATCCAACTTGACCAGACCCCAGGATCGAACCCGGGCCGCCGCGATGGGAAGCCAGCGACTAACCGCTATGGCTATGGTGCGGCCTAATTGTTAATTAAATAACCCTATATTCGGTGTTACATAGTCTGAGCTACTGAGAGTCATTAAATACACCGTAAATTAGATAAATAGATGTGTACTGTACTCCATAGGTGGACCACTTCAGCTTCGCAAGCAACCTCACGTTCCCTCTGCGCTACCTGGTGAACGCTACACACTGGCGTAAGCATGAAGGGAAACCCATCTTCTTCTACACGGGCAACGAGGGGGACATCGAGATGTTCGCACAAAACACGGTACCTACCTGAATCCATGTTCTTTACAGACTCTGCTGTTAGGTTTTGCTCCCTGGGTTGTGCGTGAGTATTCTGGCCGGAAGTAGCGGAACAGTGGTTGCAACTTCATTGTGGAAGGGAGCAGAGGTGACGGACTGTAACTAAGGCCCCTGACTACACATCCTACAGTGCGTATCTGTGTTAGTGGGCTCGACCAGAACCGCTGTCCATTCTGCTGCGAACGGCCAGGACGGTAGTGCAGAGATACGACATAATCGTGTGTGAAATGTAGAAAGAAACTCCGTGGCCTATAGTCCGCAAGCGAACTATACCGACCGAGTGACCGCCGCTTGTCGGCGAAGTTAGTGCCAACTTTTGCAGATAGAGGGTGTCGCGTGATCAGCGCAACGGATTCCCACGGCCGTTAATCTCGGGTTTCTAGACCGGAGCCGCTACTTTTCCTTTCAAGTAGCTCCTCAATTATCCTCACGAGCCTGAGTGGACCCCGTTCCAGACCCACTACTTCTCAGAAAATCTGGTAGCGCCAGGAATCGAACCCGGAACCTCTGAATTTGTAGCCAGGAACTCTGCCCACTAGACCACAGAGGCGATTGTGAAATGTTGTACTAATCTTATTTTATGTTAGAAGTGATAAATATGGCGGCAGAGTGAGCTGTTTTGTTATAGGTAAAAATGTTCCAGAAGGCCTACTCAGTCTAGTGTAGACTCAAGAAAACTGGATAGTAACGAGGAGCTTAATAATCTGAACTCCTCGCCAAGTATTATTGGGATGCATACATGGAAGAGAATAGAATTCATACAAATCTGTGATACGAATACCCAAAAGAGAAGGACAACATAGAAGATCTAGGCGTTGATGGGAGTATAATAATAAAATTAATCATAAAAAAGAATAGGATGGGAGGGAGTGGACTGGAGTCGGCTGGCTTGGGATAGAAACCAGTGGCGGGCTCTTGTGAACACGATAATGAATATACGGGTTCTTTAAAATGCTGGAAACTTCTTAATAAGCTGAGCAACTATTAGCTTCTCAAGAAAGACTTCGCTCCATTTGGTTATTTACTGAACATTGACTCTCTTTACATACATGTACATGAGAGTAAATAAGACCCCAAAGTTTGTGACGATGGTACATCAGTACAAATATTATGTTTCTGGGCATTATCCAATCGTCTTGTCTGTATCTAAAACCTCCTGTTTATATTTCAAAACACAACGTTTCGGAGACCGGATTCTGTCTCCGTCTTCAGGTAAAACCTACTCAGTTGGGCCCAATCGATAGAGCTAGTCCTTATCACCGGAAGATGGACGATGGCTAATGTCCAGGAACGTGTTATTTATACGTGAGAGAGTTTAAAAGAAGATATACTCGTACACTGTGCGGGTAGCGTAGTTGGTTGAGGCACTGTGCTACAAGCCGGAAGGTCGCGGGTTCGAGTCCCGATAAGGTGGATTTATTTCAATTGACCTAATCCTTCCAGCCGCACTATGGCCCCGGGGTCGACTCAGCCTCTAACAGAAATGAGTACCAAGAATCTTCCTCGGGGGTAAAGGGCGGCCGGCGCGTAAGGCTGACAACCTTACCGCCGACTGTGAGCTGATTATCTAGAAAATGTGGGACCCCTTAACATCTCACAACCCTATGGGCATCTATGGCCTGTTACAGGGACAGCTTTACCTTTTACGTTTTTATACGCTGTGAGGTCTTCACAGAACTTCTCTATGAAAGTTTTGATGGCTGCCGGGCTCTTTAGCATGTATTTTTTTATTGCTAGTGGGGTGGGACTAAGTCCCTTATACTGCGGCCACTTCTGGCCTATTGTACCAGCCCCAAATGATACGTGAGGATGATTGTGGAGCAATTGCTGGAATGAAGATTGGCAGGGGAAACCGAAGTACTCGGAGGAAACTTGCCCCAGCGCCACTTTATCCACCACAAATCCCACTTGATCAGACCCAGGATCGAACCCGGGCCGCCGCTGTGGGAAGCCAGCGACTAACCGCTTGAGCTATGGCGCGACCTCTTTAGCGTGTAATTCCCCGCTCTTAATGCACGATGAGTCTCTCCCAAATAACAATTGATCTCGGCGTGATGGATCGCTGAGATAGACGGCAATCTACCTGTCACACAGACCCCTCGAAAAAATGAAGAGAATGCTTGGACAGCTGAGGTCACAACTGTTAATTAAACGAGTGTGTGGAGATAGGACCCGCCCAAACAAAACATTATTCCAATCATGTGCATGTTATGCAAGAGGTCTAAGTTCATAATCAGCAGAGGCCAGTAGCCAAGCACTTGGTAAATATTACACTATAATAGGGTTCAATACAGCGGGCGACAGACTGAGACAGAAGTACTATAATAGGATTCAGTTGAGAAGGTGCTTTAGTGAGAGCCATGATATGACTGGGTTGAGTGAAACAGAGGTACACAGACACCGTCAAGATTCTTTCCAGAGAGGAAGCCAAAACTTTGCTTAAAAACTTACGTCTAAGCCATTTGAGACTGTTTTTTGTGGTTAGGGCTAGAATTGTGGGTCTGTATATTAAAATACAGAAAGCTCTGAAGACTATGTTAAAGATCCTTCGGTATTAATATTTGATATATTTCCTTTTTTCAACTTTGATTTTTTCAAAATGTCCGAGGGAGCTAGATGACTGACTCCCCCCCCCCCACTTCCATTGTTGTATATTACATATTCTTGTGCATGGGTAAAATCAGCTGTATGTGTCAGTTCCATGCTCCGGCCGCCCTATCTCCGTAACCCTGGTACCATGTAGGTTCTGAGTCCTAGAGCCCTTCTGCAAACAATGATGGTAAGGTAAAGACAAAGGTAAATTTGTCCCTGTGCTTAATTATGCATAACGCCATGAAGACGTGAGCAGTGGAGCTACATTTTTACATATTCTTGACCTTGGCGTTAGGTGGAGTTGAAAGGTCAGCTTGATGCTCCGTCCGCTTTACTTCTAGAGAAATACCACCAGTTGCCAATTGAATAAGAGGCTGGTGTGCTACAGAGCCAGTGTGGAGAAGAGAAGAATTCCTCGATTGTCCAACCCGTAGCATAATCACTAGAAAATAAACCCACCCCTGCCAGGAATTGAACTTCGGTACTCGAGCCTGTAGATAGTAGCTTCACTGAGTTATTCCACCTTACATGAAGTTTCCTTGCCAAAACTTAATTTCTCTGCATGCTGTATACCCAGATAATCTCAACCTCGAACCAAAAAGGCTTTGAAGCACTTGAAGATCACTGTCTTCGGGGATGTAACACCATGCGTACCATCTCCAGTGTGGAGGGTGGGGCAACATTTTTCTCTGAAACATTGGTAGCTACCAGATTAAACGGCGTCATATCCCAAAAAAGAGTACCTTCAGATCTCACACTTGAAGCGTCTGAATGTCGCTCTTGCTAAATCCAGTTTTATTCCGCCTGACAGGAAGTCATTCTGCAGTCTGCAGTGCCGGCCCACAGGAAGTGGAGACCACGGCTCTGATTGCCCGTGCAGCCATCCCCTTTCATTGGGTCAGCTAATGCAATAACAGACGCACCTGGTGTTTCTGTGGCCACAACTTTCATTTAAACTAGGGTACAATTTAGACCCTAAACCTGTTTTCAGCTTACTCCCCTTCTTTACCGTGGGTTGGTATAGTGGTAACGTTCTAACCTCGCATTCGGGGTTGCTCGATTCGAATCTCTGGCGGGACACCGGCACCTGTAATACCATTTTCGGCAAATTGGCATTTCGCGTTTTGGCCCCTACTACACGTACCATTATTTTACTGAAGATGTCATGTGTGCAATTTTTTTAAATATATGGTCCCTGTAGATCTCATAAATTTAATGAAAATCGTTCCACCCATTTCGAGAAAATCGGCATTTTGTGCTTTGGGGCTATTTAAAAGGTCATATTCATATTCACCAGGTACATACCCGTGATAGCGTAGTCGGTATAGCTACTGGCTATGGGCTGGACGACAGAGAGGTCGGAGTTCGAGTCCCGGTAGGGTCAAGAATTGTCTCTTCTCCACGTCATCCAGACTGGCTCTGGGGCTCACCCAGCCTCCTATCCAATAGGTACTGGGGGCTCTTTCCCCGGGAATAAGGCGGCCGGGCCGTGAAGCTGACCACTGACCTCCAAGTAGTGACGAGGTCAAGAAAATGTGAAACTGTACATCCACTCCTCCACACATCTTCATGGCTTAGTGCTTAATTAGTTAAGCAGAAGGACAACTTTTACCAACCCCTAACGGATAAACTCCCCCAAAGGTGTCTCTACTTTGATGTAGTGGAGGGGCTTGCGTGTTCAAATGACCCTGAGAGCTATGTCGGCGGTAGCATAGCTACTGGTAGAGCGACCCATGCAGGACAGGTCGAAGAGGATGACCCAGACTAAAAGAGATACCCTGGTCCTCGGGGTTGGGGGTTGGGCAAGAGGCTGACGACCTCTCACAATAAAAAAATATAAATGTCTCGAAACCTCAACAGATTGGAAGACAAGAATTGGCAAAGAATATGGACTACTCTCTAGGTACATGGAATGTGAAAACCCTCAATAAACCGGGTGCCATGAAATCGGTACTAGAACAGATAGCTAAGTACGTACAATATGAAAATCACAGCCATACAGGAACTTAGATGGCTGGGTAAAGGAATCATGGACTTAAAGAAACATACTATATGTTACAGTGGTAAAGCAGAAGGCAATAAGGAATGTGGTGTAGCCTTTGTAATAGAACGAGAATTTAAAAGCGCAATAATAGACTTTAAACCAATAAGTGAAAGAAATTGCACTTTGAGAATTAGAACAAGATTTTCCAATATGACGTTGATGAACGTGCACGCACCTACAGAAGAAAAAGAAGAGGAGGTCAAAGACTATTTCTATCAACAAATGGAAGAGACATATGATTGAATACCAAGTAATGACATAAAGGTTATTTTAGGGGATCTTAATACCAAAATAGGTAAAGAGAAGGAATACAGAGGAGTAATTGGGACAGAAAGTTTACATGATACAACCAACCATAATGGAATAAATTTAATAGATTTTACAGAAAGTAAGAACTTGATCATCAGCTCTACATACTTCCCGCACAAAAATATACATAAAACAACATGGGCAGCACCGGATGGGGTAACCCTCAATCAAATAGATCATCTCCTCATAGAAAAGCGATTTGCGACAAATATGCTGGACATAATAACATTAAGAGGGGCCAACTGTGATAGTGATCATTACTTAGTACAGGTTAAATATAGATGTAAAATAAATTGTCAAAGATCCAAGCAGTATCAGAAATGTAAGAAATTTAATATTGACAAGATTACAGAGAGTGATAAGAGAGAAGCATTTCAAAATAAAATTAAAGAAATTAATGGCAATAGAGCAAATAAAGATGTAACGGTAGAAGGAATATGGGTAGATTTGAAAACTGCAATAATTACAGAAGCCAAGAGGACACTGGGCTATCAAGAGAAACAGAATAATAGAGAATGGTTCGACAAGGAATGTAGAGAGAGTATAAACCTCAAGAATAAGAAATGTATGGAATATATGGAAAGACCAACAAGAGCAAGAAATGAGGTGTATAAAGAAGCAAGAAGGAAAACAGATAAGATTTGCAGGAAAAAGAAATGGGCCTTTCTAAATGAGCAATTACTGCAAATGGAAGAAGACTTCAAAAATAACAAAACAAAAAATGCCTTTGGTCGACTCAAATATATGAAAGAAGGTTTCAAACCCAAAACAGAATTTATCCGAGACAAAAAAGGGCTTCTAATAAATAATAAAACAGAGATTATGAATACATGTAAAGAATATTTTGAACAATTATTAAATCAAAATCAGAATATGGAAGATAACGGGGACAATGAAGAAGAAAATACAGGTGATGGAGAAGGGGAGGAGGAAGAGATAATAGAGCCTCCAACAAAGGAAAAAGTGGAAGAAGCATTAAAGGAACAAAAACTAAATAAAGCACCAGGAGGAGACAACATACCAGCAGAATTATTGAAGGCAGGAGGACAAGAAGGACTAATAGCACTCCACAGAATTATAAATAAAGCGTGGGAAGAAGAAAAGCTAGTAGAAGATTGGGGAAAGAGCATTATATGTCCCATATTTAAAAAAGGTGATAAATTAACATTTGTAACTATAGAGGTGTATCATTACTACCGACAGCATATAAGATTTTAACAAGGATACTAAAAAAAGATACTGGATCCATATATAGAAAAAATAATAGGAGAATATCAATCAGGATTTCAACCCAATAGGTCAACAATAGACAATTTATTCACCCTGAGACAAATAACAGAGAAATGCTGGGAATTTAATACAGATATTTACCTATGCTTCATAGATTTTAAACAAGCATATGATACAATAATAATAAAGAAGAAATTAAGGATGATTATGTCCACTTTTGGTATTCCAACAAAACTAAGTATAATAATTAACTTAACCATGACAGAAACAATCAATCAAGTTAAAATCCAGAACCAGTTAACGGAATGCTTTAAGACAAATCAAGGATTAAAATAAGGAGATAGTTTGGCACCATCACTATTTAACTTGGTATTGGAATATATAGTGAGGAAATGTAATGTAGACACAAGGAACACAGTAGCGTATAAACAAACGCAAATAATAGTGTATACGGATGATATTATTATAGTAGTATCGAGGTCCCTAAGAGCAATGAAAGAGACATATAAGGAAATAAAAACCATAGCAAAAACAACTGGCTTAGAGGTGAATGTAAATAAAACTAAAATGCTGATACAATCTAAAAGGAATCCAAGGCAAACTGGAGAAATTAACATGGAAGGGGACGGGATAGAAATAGTTGAAGACTTTATATATTTAGGTTCGAAATTCCACAGAGATGGAGAGGAAAATCATGAAATAACAAGAAGAATAAAACTAGTGAATAATGCATATTTCTCGTTACTGTCGGTTTTTAGATCAAAGGATATACACCGAGCGATTAAAACAAAAATATATAAAACAATGATACAACCAGTGATTTATTATGGATGTGAGATTGGACGCTAAACAAGAAAGCGGAATCAGTCATCAATTCATTCGAGAGGAAAATCCTAAGACAAATTTATGGACCAATAAAAGAGAATGGGATGTGGAGAATAAGATATAATAAAGAGTTATACAAATTATATAAGGAGCCAGAGATCTCAGTGGTGATAAAGCTAAAAGATTGCGATGGGCTGGGCATGTACAGAGAATGGATAAGGAGCGTATCCCAAAGAAAACATTATATAGTACAATAGGCAGTAGGAGACGTGCTGGGAAACCAAGAACTAGATGGATTGATGCGGTGGAAGAAGATGCGAAGAAGTGAATGGGTGTAAGGAACTGGAAGAGAGCAGCGCAGGACAGAGAGGAATGGAGGGGCTTGATATGGGAGGCCAAGGCCCGACATCGGGCTGTTGAGCCATAGAAGAAGAAGAAGATGGATAAACTCTTCAATACCCAATATGAATAAAATCTGTCAAACCGTTCTAGTGCTAGTAAGATGCACATTCCAACAGACATAAAAGAGGGAGAGAAATAGATGCCATACCAGAAACATTTTTTTGTGTTAAGGGGGCCCAAAACGCGTAAATTAATCAAAATCCCGAGATCGATATCTTTCAAGATCATAATGTATTTTCGTGTATACTAGATGTACGAAAAAGTATAAATTAGGTTTATGAGATTACCATGCTGTCTGTATGTATGTCTTCCCTGTCACAAAATTTGATGTGAACATACCACTGGGGGAAATCCTAACTAGCAGTTGTTATTATCTGAAGCCAACAAGAGAACACAAGCAAAGAGGCATAGGTGCTGGCATATTTTTAAACACACACACACAACCTGGCGGTAGCAGTTGTTTGTGGAGTGATAGGAACAATGCACATGCCATTGATTGGCATTCAGCATTCATTCATTTATTTGCATTCTGTTAATCCATACAAGGTCAAACCAACCTATGGGATATAGAACCTGTCAAGATACAAATATAATATAAACATAAAATAATGATATATACATACATTCATAATGAACACAATAAGGACATAAAGTAAAACACAGTATTGCATAACAGCAGTGTCACAAAACACATTTTGATCAAAGACACAAAGCAAAACACAGTATTGCACAACAGTGTCACAAAACACAGTTTGAACAAATACACAAGATAATAGTGAAGACAATGAAACATGAATGAATTGAACTTACAGTGGGAAGACCTCCCACAACTAATCAAAATGTACAAAGGGCAAGAAATATAAAAAGAACCATATTCATTAGGAAGTTAATTGGTAATATTCATCAATACTATAGAATGCATGTTCTGTAAGGTAGGTTTTTAATGAAGATTTGAAATGCTTAATATCTTTAGATAGCATTTTAATATTTAATGGTACAGGATAACTACTACTGCTACTACTACTACCACTTGTTGTTGTTAGGGATACTTCATTTATTCATTTTTGTCATTGCATTATAATAGAAATTTCAGAACTTTTATTGACATATTTTTGTAATTGTTATGCATTAGAGAATTAAGAAATCTTACAAAATTTTTATTGCAGCAAATTGTAGCAGTTGTTTGGAGATCGAGGTGTATATGAAAGTATAATATCAAAATAGATATCAAAGCAACATGATATGAGGCTATGGACTGGATTCATCCAACTCAGTAGGAACCAATGGTGGGCTCTTATAAATATGACAATGAAGCATTGCCATTTTGTTCAGACAGATGTCCAGCAGTTTATGTTGTTTGTTACAGGGATTTGTGTGGGAGATTGCTCCAGAGTTCAGGGCCCTTATTGTGTTTGCAGAACATCGCTACTATGGACGCTCATTGCCCTTCGGCAACAAGTCATACTCGGTTAGTGACCTATATCACTATATATACCTTTGATGGACAGCTACAACTATGTGTACCACATGCTTTAACATTAAAAATCTCTGCATGTTGCCAATACAGTGTACTTACATGTTCTGTATGATTCCCACAACAGACAACAGTCATTTCCTGAAACAGCATTAATTGGTTGGTTTTTGTAATGGAAATTCAGTGTTTTATGTGAGTTAGGAGCAGAATTTCTAATGTATTTTGTATATGAGTTTCAGGCTTCAAAGGATTAATCACCCATGCATTCCAGTTTTGTATTCAGGGAGCCCTGTGTTCAAACTTGGCCTGGGGACCTCCCATCCTGACCAATGTGTAACATGTATGAAAGCCACACATTTTACATTTTTATATATGTAATATTTATGAGAAAGTACTGTGATGCTGAAAGAAGAAACTAATCCCGATATTTTGATAGATTTATACGTTTTCTGCCGCTTGAATACAAAACAGTGCTTTTGGAATGTTGTCTGTTTGTCCATCAGTGTATATATATATATATNCGCACTTTACTCCCCAGAAAAAATATTTAATTAATTCCTGGTACTCATTTATGTTAGAGACTGAGTCAACCCCAGGACCATAGTGCGGCTAGAAGGATTAGGTCAATTGTTAAAAACTCCAATGAACTCATCTGGAGTTGAATCCGCGACCTTCTGGCTTGTAGCTATGTACCTGAACAATTTGATGAACTTTATGCATATTCAGCATCCATGAATTCATTCATCATAGGCCTGTGCCTGGCGAATATGAACATTCTAGCTTCAAAAATAGATGTCCTTCCGATGGGCCGAACAAACCAAATGTTGATTTTCTCAAAATGACTAAAAACGATTTTCATTGAATTTCAGTAGATTATTGGAGACCATCTCCATATATAAAACAGCATATGCCTTGTGTCTGGGGAATTAACTGTACATGCACTAGGGGCCTGAACGTGAAATGTCGATTTTGTTTAAGTCAGGTGTATTTATTAGATAGATTTTGTTGTTCGTTTTTTTTTTTAGTAAATAACAGTGATCTGTCGAGCAACAGTTTATACCATTTTCAAAGAAACATCACTGTCAGTCATATGCACAATGTCTTTTGTCCAGTGTGTTTTTTTTAATGCAGCATACAACGGAACATTTGCATCACATCTTGAATTGTGACTGTGTTGCCGCAGGAACCGAAGTACCTGGGTTTCCTAACATCTGAACAGGCCTTGGCAGATTACGTTCTGCTGATTAGTCACTTGCAGAGGGACCAGGATCATCCAAGCCCTGTCATTGCCTTTGGCGGTTCATATGGTGGCATGTTAGCTGCCTACTTCAGGATGAAATACCCTCATGTTGTGGCAGGGTGAGTACAAGTAGTTATTTGTTACACTTGTGCCAGCTAGCTAACCAACGAACCAACCAACTGCCTTACAAACTAACTCTGTGAAGTATAGCCATTCTTGAGAACCTAATAGTCACTCAGTTATTTGAGAATTTTGAATTTTGCACCATTTTATCAAAACTGAAGCTTCTTGTCATGAAATTGGTCCAGAATACAGTTCTAAGACAGGATCTCTGGAAAATGAGTTTTGTTTCCATAATTCAGAGAATCTCTGCCCCTTAAATTTTGTTGCCACATCATATATCTGATTATTTTCTATATATTTATTGCCACAGCAGAATTTTTACATTAATCACATGGTGTCCTGAAAATAATCGTACCATCACTATGAGGTTATATAGAAATAGCTAATGAAGACTTAGGAAATGTGGAAAATTTAAAATATTTAGGAACAACAAACAAAATATTACAATCACACTTAAGTTAGGAGCTGATAGAATCTGGAAAATGCTCACAGCAGTTTAGTTTGGTATCTTCTTGCCTGTTACCTGAAAATATGAACATTAAAACATATAAAACTATAATTTTACTTGCTGTTTTGTGTGGATGTGGAACTTTGGCTCCCCTCCCCTGGGAACTTTCGGATGCCAGCGGAAAGAAGTGACCGCCACCGGAATAAAGATCACACGCTGTGTAGGACACAGGCGTATGGGACAAATCAAGAATAAGGTCGCACCGGAAATCACCAAGAAACGGACGTTCGGGAAGAGACTGTGGAAAGGCCCGGAACGCAACACTGGCATCAGGAACCGAGGCCTGAGACAGCAACTACAACGCAGAAATGAAGTGAAGGACCTAGGCGGCAGACAGCCGCGATATGTGAAGGAAGCAGACATGAGAAAAACTGCAGGACTGCAGATCGCCAAGCGAGTAGCCGGATTTTCTGTCTGCCTACGACACGGCAAGGATTGGACACTGTGGAGGGGTCGACCCCCTCCAAAACGAAAAAAGAAGCAGGCACGGAAGAGGAGCCGGTAAAATAGAAGAACCGGCCTCCCCAGAGAGAGTGAATGTGCCATGGGAAAAAGCGATGGATGAATGTGATCTTCTGGCGAGCTGAAAGGAAACCGCTCGAGACGAGCTTTGTCTTAAGAAGGGAGCGGATGTAACGGACGAAGAATAGTCGCTGCAAGAAGAGTAGCCGAAACAACAGGAGACACTGCAAGCACAGCTACGGGACGGAAAAGGAACTGGGGTGCACCGTTAGGCTATTCGGGACGAACAGCCTTAAGGAGGGAGCAGTGTAACATGTTGCGCAACGGAGAACCCCTCCCTACCCAGCAGCAACGTGGCAACTCAGGCCACAGGCGCGTGGCGGTAACGTAGCGCTCCCTCCCACCCCTCCGCGGTGACGTAATGCGCAACGCTACATACCCGTAATCAACTTCCTACTGTGACGTGGAACGCAACAGGCACCACTGCGGCTATATAAGGGAACTGCACAGCAGCTACAAGTGAGTTGTAATGTGGGCAGTCGCCGAGTTATAAGGTTACAGTCGCCGAGCCGAGTTGACATATAGCAACAGTTGCCGAGTCGAGTTATAACGTGGCCATCGACGAAGATAGTTCCGAGCAAGCCTATGAGTTAGTGTGTTATCAACAGTTCTCCAGTTGTTTCGGCTATTCTTCTTGCAGCGACTATTCTCTGGCTGTTACAACCAGACTGAGGATGTCTGAGAACAGGTTACTGAGGGAATATGTGGACTGTAGACAGACAACATAATAAGAGGAGAGAGGAGCTTCATAATGTGTTACCTTTGTAGTATTAACTCCATGGAGCTGAGTCCTTCTTGAGAAGTTAATAGTTGCTCAGTTACACAAAATATCCCCAGCATTTTATGGAAATCAAAGGCTCATTGCTGTGTTCACAAGCGCCTGCCACTGGTCCATATCCCTAGCCACATACAGGGTGTTTCACGACTTTAGGCCATAACTGCAGGAGGTGATTTCCTAGATCTTTGTGATCAAAAAAGTTCATATAAACATGTGTCCGATTTTGGACGGTTATGGAGTTATGACCGTTTTTTCATTCCCTTACACGCCCTCATGTGAACCACGTCTGTCAGCTGGTGGGTCGCTATTTTTAGCCAGCTACAGACAGAGCGTTCTCGTTATCTCGACACTTGAGAGGTACCTAAGGTGTGGTGGGTTGGTATGTCTGGTGAGGGTCACAACCGAGCAGCTGCCTGTGTTGCGGCCGACGGTGGCATTTTCGAAAATCAGCTTTAAGCACCAATCAATTCAAATTAAAGGTAATTTCACGAAGTTTACTTTACATTCATACTTTAAATGTATCATGTATTATGCTGGTTTATTATTTTGTTCCGTTTATTGTCAGTAATCGTTACCTTCTATTCTGAGTTTAAAATGGTCATAACTCCGTAACCGTCCAAAATCAGACACATGTTTATATGAACTTTTTTGATCAGAAAGATCTAGGAAATCACCTCCTGCAGTTATGCCCTAAAGTCATGAAACACTCTGTATATGCAGTCCGCACCCTCCTGTCATACTCATTTAAGATCTATTTTAATACTACCCTCCCATATTCATCTTGGTCTCCCTATTGGTCTCTTCCCTTCCCATTGTCCTACTGAAATTTTTCACGCACATCTCTTCTCTCCTGTGCTTGCTAGTTATTAGGGTGACCAAATCAAGGATTGTGAGTGGACTGGATTCATTTGGGTCAGGATATAGTCCAGTTGTGAGTTCTGGTGAACATGGTAATGAGCAGTTAATATAGGATTCTGACGATGGTGTATAACACATAGAGATATTGGGTTTTCGGACTTTATCCATCATCTGGTTTTAAGATAACTAAGAAAAACACGACGTTTTGGAAACTGGATCTGTTTCCGTCCTCAGATGAGGGAAAACACCTATTCTGTTGGGTCGTCCAGTGATTGAAGCTAGCTCTTTCTCAGGGACCCAACAGAATAGGTGTTTTTCCTCACCTGAGGACAAAAACAGATCCAGTTTCCGAAATGTGGTGTTTTTCTTAGTTATCTTAAAACCAGGATGATGGATAAAGTCCGAAAACCCAATATCTCTATGGTAATGAGCCTTTGGATGACCTATGTCATGAATGGCAATTTCTCTCTCTTGATGCAGGGCTATTGCAGCATCAGCACCAATCTTCCAATTCTCTGGGCTGACTCCATGTGAAGCTTTCTATCGGATTGTCACATCAGACTACAATAGCACCTCTACCGAATGTGCTGCTTCCATCCGCAGATCTTGGACAGAAATTAACAATATCACCAGTTCTGGTAACACTTATACTTCTTTGTGCAACATTCCTGTTCTGCTATTTGCAGGCTTCTGGTTCTTGATGTTGTCTAGTCTTGTAAGGGATAGGGCCTACAGATGTTTTGGAGGAACATGTTGCCTCCATTTTCAGAGTATCATGAATCTTCCACGTCCTTAAAATCCAAAATGTCATATGTTGGTCACTCAGCTAGTTAAGAATTTGTCAGCCTTTTATTTAATCCAAAATTTAGTTTCTGTATTCACAAGAGCTCTCCACTGGACTCTATCCTAGATTAATCCAAACCACATTCTCACAGCCTATTTTTCTATAATTCACTTTAATATTATCCTCTTGTCAGTATATAGTTATTTTAAGTGGTCTCTTTACTTCAAGTTGCCAAACTAAATTTTTACATTAATTTTACCCAATGCTAAATATCCTATCTTTCTCATCCTTTTTGAATTGATCATCCTAATAATAGTTGGTGAGGGGTAAAAATTTTTAAGCTTCTCATTATGTAATTTTCCCCAGCCTTCTATCACTTCCCCTTCTTATGTCCAAATACTCTCCTCATAACTCTGTTCTCAAACACTTCCAATTTATGATCTACCCTTATGGTGAGATGTCAGATTTATGATATAAGTGTATGTAGCTAATTGTGTTCCAGATTTGTGGTCATATTTTCGTTGTTAATTATTCTTCCTCTCAGATATACAGACTGGTTAAGTAAACGTTAACTTAGAACCTCAAGTGCCAATGAAATTTCCTCTCATGTGATTTTTAATCCTAAATATATATTTGAATGGGAACAAGCCGAAAGTAACATTCGAACACTTTTATACATACATAAATAATCATTATATGAAGCATTCTCTGCATAACAGAAATGTTTATATATCAATGTCCACGTAAATATCAACATTTTTTAATAACCCAGTATAAAGCGGCATCCGTAGTCTAGAGGTAATGTTCCCACCTCATGACTCGTAGTACACGGGTTCAAATACCCGGCGGAGGTCGTCGAATTTCTAAGGGCAGAAAAATTCAGGGAACAAGTCCTCCGGGAGGGACTTTAAGCCGTGGGTCCCGTGTCGTAGCTTTACGGCATGTAAAAGAACCTCATATCTCCTAAGGAGGTCACTGAGCCAAATTAACGGACGTTTCCCGCCCAACAGCAGTCTCTAATACCTCTGGTAGATGGGGGAAGCATTATAGATACCTCTCAGCTAGTAGAGCCGGTCTCGCTGGCTGGGCGGGACTGATGGTAAGCACCAGTACCGGTAGGATATAGAGACTGGTAGAAATCATAGAGGGAAGCACAATGGACCAATACAGGTCTCAGTGCATGGGGAAACCCACCCTCTCCAATAACTAACTAACTAACCCAGTATAAAATAGCAAATATTTTTTATACACTGTCTGTTTCAGCTGTACAGTATTTTTCACATTTGTACCAGTAGATGCTGGAAAATCTTGGCTGTCAACGACATGGAAATTGTGCAAACCGCTGAAGACATCAAATGATGTTAAGGAGTTGAAGAGCTGGCTGTCAGATGTCTACACAAACCTTGCCATGATCAACTACCCATATCCAACGAACTTCCTAGCACCAGTGCCTGCTAATCCCATCTCAGTGAGTTAAAGTTTGTACTCTGATATCTGTGCCCATGGCAGTTCTGTCAGGCTTCCTCATGAAACAGCCTCATGAAAATTACACAACAGTTTAGTCTTCTGCTATGTTGTGATAGACTGAGAGCTGGGATAGCTAAATCAGTATAGTGATGAGGGTAAAGGCTGGATGATTTGGAAATCTGGGTTATATTCCCAGCAGGAGTCTGGGTTTGATTCTCAATATGGGTGAAGGTTTCTTCTAGTCTCCAAAATATGTGATCCAGCTCTTTCCCTAGGGCATGAAGCTAACCACTCACCCCATCTATTATCAATATAAAGAATGCATGGAGCTATACTTCCACAAAACATGTTCATAGCATGATGCTTGGTGAAGCGCAAGGAAAAATCAATTTACTAATTAAATGAACAACATACTAAGTAACTATATAACTAGTAAAATAAATGCTTATTAAGTAATTAGCAAACTTAGTACCTAGAACATTAAATAAGTATGAGATTTAGGAACAGTGTGAGGAGCTTCATAATTTGTATGACTCACTAAATATTCAAAGCCCACTGTTCCCAGATGATGTTAACACTTATACCTCTGCTTCACAGGTCATGTGTACTCATCTACCAAACTCCTCACTGACTGGCAAACTCCTTCTGAAGTCAATTTTCAAAGCAATCACCATATACTTTAACTACACAGGTAGCACTAGATGTCTGAATATAGAAACTGAAGCTAGCACTAATCTTGGAGACCTCGGCTGGGATTTCCAGGTATGAATCTTGCATTTCAAATGTTTTATAATCTAGCATCACAGAATTGTACAGAAAAGCTCTGTCATACTGTTCTTACTTATAGCATTATCCACATGTAGCCTTTATTTTTATAATCCCATACACCTTCATGACACAGTGTTTAAGGAAAAAAAAACAGGAATAAATTATAAAGTCAAGTATCTTGGCATAAATGTAGCTGTCCTTCTAGAACTTATGAAGAAGTTAACATGCATATTCTGTTAAATCGTGGTCTCAGAGTGTATGATTTTATGTTCTCACGGTGGTGGTTGTGAAAAATTCTATCTTCTTGGATATAACATCATGTAGTCTATTAAAAGTCAAACGTTTCAGAGTAACATATTCCTCCAAAAACATCAGGTGACTTTAAGTGGACTACACGAAATACTGCATATCCAAGAAGATAGAACTCTTCATGATCTTAAAGTGTCCATCAAGGGCTATAATGTATAAGAATGGAACACAATTAAATAAGTATAATGTGACCAAGTATGACGTTGATACCCAAAATTTCCCTTTGATATCTCAATGGTCCTTACATAAGTTAAAGCAATTTGTCTATTCTGCTGCAGGCCTGTACAGAGATGGTAATGCCCATGTGCTCAGATGGCCACAATGACATGTTTGAAATGCAGATGTGGAACTTTGCTAAGTATTCTGATACGTGCTACAAAAAATGGAAGGTTCGGCCAGATGAGAAGCGTGCCCTCAGAATGTACGGTGGTAAAGACATCTCCACAGCTACCAACATTGTATTCAGGTAAAGCTGTCTTATACTTAATAAAATACCACACTGAAAGTCACAGTCAAGATGGCATGCCTGCTTCATACTCAGGAGATCCAGGTTCAAATCTTGGCCTGCACACTCTCTATTCTGCAGTGGTTTTCATCATTCCTTCCAGAGAAATGCAGGAATAGTAACACAAATTAGGCCATACCTACTTTCTTCTATATTCTTTTCAAATCATTTGATGACTGCTTTCTTCCACATAATCTCCAAATTATTACTCAAAGATCATCCTGCCATTTGACACTGTGTAGGAGGCACTATGCTACAAGCCAGAAGGTTGCAGTTTTGATTCCTGATGAGGTCACTGAATTTTTTAACTGATATAATCCTTCCAGCCACACTAATGGCCTTGAGGTCAACTCAGCCTCTAACAGAAATGAGTACCAGGAATCTTCCTGGGGCTAAGGGGCAACTGGGGCAAGAGGCTGACAACCCCACCGCCATCTGTGAACCAATTCTGTAGAATATGTAGGACCCTCAACGTCTCACAACCCAGTGGGCCTCCACAGTTTGTTACTGGGATACCTTTACCTTCTTTATTCAACACTATATAGCCCAAGATGACAACAGTGTCATTATGTAAACCATAAATAAATAAATGCTTAAGCACTTGACCACAAAAATGGGTGAGAATTAATTCTTGATCTCAGCACAGATGGAGGTGAGTGATGGTCTGCGTTAGGCCCTGGCCACTTACCTCCAGGAAGAGAACCCCTGGCACCCACTCGATAAGAGACTGAGTGGGACCCCAGAGTCAGTCTTTGTGTGGTGGTGAAGAGAAAAATTGCTGTCCCTGCTGGGAAAAGAAATTTCGTCATCCAGGCAAGAGTCAGTCACTGTACTGACTGGGCTCGGGTAATTGCTGTTGCCAATACTGGAACAACATCATCATCATCATCATCATCATCATCATCATCATCATCATCATCATCATCAGTAATCTGTCAGATGACAGGTCCACAGTCTCTTCCAAAACAATTCCTCCACTTAATGCGATCTAGAGCTTTCTCCTTCAAATGACAGTATGCTCTTCTGTCCCCAAGGTCATCCAGCATCTTCTTACGTTTTCTTCCTCGTCTTCTTGTCACTTCTATCCGCCCCTCTATCTTTCCTTCAATAACTTCTTTTAGAAGGCAGTTTCTGCGTAAAACATGACCAATCCAATTAGCTTTCCGTTTTCTTATTTCGTGTAGGATATTCCTCTGCTCACTGACTCTAATTAACACTTCTTCATTTCTCAAATAATCGGTCCAACTGATCTTCTCCATCCTTCTCCAACACCACATTTCAAAACTTTCCAGATGTTTCTGATCTACTGCCCTAAGTGTCCATGTTTCAGCCCCATACAGAGCTATGCTCGAAATGTAGCATTTCACTAGTTTCTTCCTCAAATTTAAGTTCAATTTGCTGGTAAAAAGAGTCTTCTTCTTGCTATAAAGTGAGTTAATTGGACTTGTAACTGAGCCTTCATATATACAAGGTTATTCAGTAGTCTGCCCAACTTTGTGGGTACATTAATCAAGTGTTTTTGTGTAAAAGAATAGTTGTATAAACACAGGTCCTGTTTAGAAAGTTTTGAAAGTCATGGAAGTTCGAAGGCACAATAAAGGATACCAGAAATAAGGGGTTTTAATTAAAAATGTCACTATAGCTTAATCATAAAACTGAAATGCGTGTTCCAATAATTGTTTGAAGTGTCTACCTGTGAGGAGAAAGCATATTTAAGCAAGGTGTATTATTGAATTGGTTGGCATTACTATACCCAAATGGACACAATTGTGCATTCAGGTCTGTTACAGGATTATGCAATAGGCAGGATTTCAATTTTCCTAATGACAGGAGGGTGGTGATTTGTAGGAGCATGCTGTAGGCAGGATTTCAATTTCCCTAATGACAGGACGATGGTGAGTTGTAGGAGCATGCAGTAGGCAGGATTTTCATCTTCCTAATGACAGGATGATCATGATCATGATAGCTCCTAGCAGGACCTACAGCTTAACATGTAATTGAACCATTCTATGGGCCTCATATTCACCACATACACAAAATGCAGTAATTCAGCTGATGCCTCGTCTGTTGCGTTTTGCAGCAATGGGCTTTTGGACCCATGGTCCAGTGGAGGTGTGCTGTACAACATATCAAGTTCCACTGCAGCTGTCATCATACCAGAGGGCGCACACCACTTGGATTTGCGGGAGAGCAACCCTGCTGATCCTTTCTCTGTCCGCACAGCACGTAAATTTCACCGTAAATTCATACGCCGTTGGCTCCATAACCATCAGCTTTCAGAACCTACACTAGGAGTTGGTTTGTAGTGGTTGATTCTTCTTTGCATAGGCCTTATGTAAATTAACACAGATAAAACACTGTAATATGCTGAGATGCTGATATCAGTTTGTCACTCATCAGTCCTGCAGCTTTGTAAACCCCAAATTAAGGCCATCACTTTATAGCTGGTTTTATAATTTGCCAAGTTCACTTCAACTGTTGGAAGAGAAAGATTAATATACACAAAATAGAAATTTTTAGTTTTGTCTTATAAATTTGATAAATTCAACTTGAACTTGAATTTTGTATACTGATATATGTACTGACTGATGTGAGCTACAGCTAAAAAGAAATTCATCTTGAGCTTACTGTGAGCTGATATGGGCCAAAAACACCATCAGCCTATAACTTTTTTGTGTAGAATGCTAATACAAAATTTCATGATATCCTTTGACTAGTTTTAGAAATTAAATATACAGTTTGACAGATATTTGCTCCATATTATGCATTCATTTTGTGCACATTGAACATAAAATGTACTGAAGGCTTCACATAGGAATTCACTGTTTTACAAATACGTACTGTCACAGTAGTACCTCTGGTACATTTTGATCCATCAACCCACTGAAAACAGAAACAATGCTCTGAGGAGAGAGGGAGGGAGGTAGGAAGGAAGGAAAGAAAGAATAACTTCAATATAGGCTTTGGCATAATTTCTCTTTTGTGTGGCTCAATGGGAAAAAGTTTCCAATTTCTTATTTCTTCTCATGTTTGCTTTCTGGCTTCTTGCCAGCTCTGTCCTGTCCTCTTCTCTTCAAATACCTAGCTAAACCATCTACTTCTGGATCACTCCATAAGTCTCTTTCCTTTACATTTTAATTCTGATATCTTTCTTGGCATCCTTGTCCTACCTACTCTTTTTACATTACCAAACCATTTCCAGTTCATTATTCATCAATCACCCTACTACTAAACGATGTAATCTGAGCTACTGACAGCATGGCCGCGCCATAGCTCAAGCGGTTAGTTGCTGGCTTCCCACTGCAGCAGCCTGGGTTTGATCTCGGGTCTGGTCAAGTGGGATTTGTGGTGGACAAAGTGGTGATGGGGCGGGTTTTCTCCGAGTACTTCAGTTTCCCCTGTCAATCTTCATTCCACCAAATTCGCCATCATCATAATCACCCAGAGCAGGCTACAATAGGCCAAACAGTGGCTGCCATGCCGAGTGGATCCAGTTAGACTCCACCCCCCTCTAAGTGAATTAATTACTGACAGCATCATTAGATAAGCCATAAATAAATAACAGGAGCAAGTATTTACAAGTTACACGAGTCATGTATGAAAATATTATTTATTTTAAATAATTCAAACAATACACACACCTCACAGGATTAAATTTTTAAGCATACATAAAACACATTGTCATCTGCATACTGGGGTGTTCTATTTCCACATACTTCCACAGTTTACCTCACTTGCAAGTATGTTCATAATGTGTTTTCTTCTATCACATTTAAACTGCAGTTCATTCACTGACTTCAAAACCCAGTTTCCTGATAACTAACGTTGATGGGCACATTACACCCCAGAATTCAGGTGACAGCATGTTATGATCACAGATATATGAATAATTTTACAATAGAATAAATGAATGGGTGAGCATTAAGCGATCATTGCACTATGACTGTTTTCAACTGTGTGACCCCTTCCTAAGATTTAACCCTTCAGCAGCCTACCTATCAAATGAAGTGCGGGTACATTGCTTAATGGAACCTTATGATGTTATTTGACTTCATGAAATGACTTCCCAGGTGAAAAATCTTAATTCACTAGAACTTCATGATTTTCTTTGTCATGACACCTTTTGCAGGTGGGACTGTTTACCATTCCCAATTTGAACAGGCTGTTACAAAAGACAGCAAAGTTATAGAGCAATAGCTATGATTTATATAAGGTGGAAATTAGTAATGCGGTTTTAATTCAGCAGCTTTACTTACACTTTATACCTCTTTGTTTTCTTTATTAGAGAGGAGTGGAAGTAAGTTACAGTGAGTTTAGAAAGTCAACAAAGTCCAATGGCTTAAGATAAAGTTACTTCTCTTTGTCTCACAATACATTTACGAAGTCTGTCATTCTCATGGCGGTTAACATTAAAAGTACAGTCTTCTAGGATGTGACACCACACAGTCTGGCAGAAAGAAGTAATGACTTGGAAGAACCCACTGCCTCCATCTTCTGAGAAGAGGAGGAAGCTGATTCATATGAAATGTTAGTGTGTGTCTACTGAACTACACGACATATTTGCATTTATGTATGCCAGATGGAGTATGTGGAATGGATTTAATTGTCCCAGGAAAGGGTCCATGATAGGCTTTTATGAATATGAATAGAGATGAGAAATTCTTGATCAGTTGAGTAACTATCAATTAGGCTAGATTTATGTATCTTGAATGTCTCTTTAAGAGAAATATATTATATTTACTCTGGATATAAAATATGATCATTTTATAAATTAAATAAAGGAAATTAAATATTTGTAGGTCACCCATGTATGTTTAAAATTTCCTGCCACATTAATGCTTCCCACCTTGAGAGTAATTAAGTAGTAGGGCCACATTAGTGTAATAACATTTAATTGGACCATCTACATAACAACTATGTCAATCAATAAAATGATACTAATGTACCAGAATTAATTTATATGGCAAAGGTGTTGCTACATGTTTCAACCCTTACAAGGTCATCATCAGGTGAATCTATACAAATGTGATCTTAGTCGTTGAATTGTATTTCTTAATATGGATCCGTATTATTACATTATTTTACCATTTGTTTAGTCAATACACCCTTTTGTTAAGATAGTATAATCTAACAAATACAGTTCTTTAAATTTAGCTTAAAAATTAAAACCAAAATTAAATAGAGGTTTCAATTAATATTAATATTAGTAAGATAAAGTTGTCCCTGTGCTTAACTAACTAAGCACTACGCCATGAAGGTATATGGGGGAATGGATGTATAGACCCACATTTTCTTGACCTCGGCACTAGTTAGAGGTGAGTGGTCAACTTCACACCCCGGCCACTTTACCCCTGGGAAAGAGACCCTGGTACCCACTGTATAGGAGTTTGGGTGGACCCCAGAGCCCGTCTGGACAACATGGGGAAGAGAAAATTCTTACCCTATCAGAACTTGAACTCCAACCTCCCAGTCATCCAGCCCTTAGCCAGTTACCATACCGACTGCGCTGTTGTGGCTCCTTATAGTTTTGGTCTTAAATTAAAATTAATTACCCAAATTATACTTTGATTTTGAGAACTGATTTTAAATTAGCTTTAGAAACTAGAGAAGTTTTTAGGTTTGTCAGGTTTTGTTATGGTTCTTGTTAGGTTGCAAGTCGTATGTCGAAGCAATATGAGGGGGCCCCTTTAGGAGTCTCTGTTGCATCTGTTTACTTCTTTACCATATCTAAGCATCGTTAGTAGTCTCCTAAGCGCTTTCTTTATGTCACTCCCGGCTATTTTTGGTTTCCACAAATGATGAGTTTCTACTAATGCTACCAACCTTAGATATAGTTACATAATAGCAAGTGATGGAGACATCTAACCAAAAGGATGTAAAAAAAAAAGGTAACGTTGTCCCCGTGCTTAACTAATTAAGCACTATGCCATGAAGGCATATGGGGAAATTGAGGTATAGATCCGTGTATTCTTGACCTCGACACTAGTTGGAGGTGAGTGGTCAGGAGGCTGGGTGGGCCCCAGACCCAGTCTAGATGCTGTGGAAAAGAGAAAATCCTTGACCCTACCACAGCTGAAACTCCAACCCCTCTGTTGTCCAGCCCATAGCCAGTTGCTATACCAAATGAGCCGTCCCACCTCACTAAAGATAACTGTATTTCACAATAAAAGAGAACAAAATAACTCTAGAGTAATAAACACCACAGAAACACATTTTACACCAGATGAAATACAATTATTAACTAAGGGACTGAAATATAATTTGCAAAACAGTTCTCAAAATCAAAGCATAATTTTGGGTAATTAATTTTAATTTTAAGAACAAAACTATAGGGAGCCAGGATAGCATAGTTGATGTAGCAACTGGCTACAGGCTGGACAACTGAGAGGTCAGAGTTCGAGTCCTGATAGGGTCAAGAATTTTCACTTCTCCATGTCATCCAGACCGGCTCTGGGGTCCACCCAACCTCCTGCACAATGGATACCAGGGAATCTTTCCCAGGGGTAAAGTGGCCAGGGTGTGAAGTTGACCACTCCCCCCAACACCTTCATGGCATAGTGCTTAGTTAGTTAACCAGAGGGACAACTTTACCTTACCTTTACCATAAACAGAAAAATTAGCTAGAAACTGCAATAAATAAACTTGACAGAATAGTATTACATGCATATAGTTGCAAAAAATATTAAGATCAACTGGAAAAAATGATCAAAATAATAGGAGCAAACAGAATAACACTGGTCCATAACACTAGAAAACTAAATGGCCTATTTTCACACAGAGTGGAAAAGAAACAAGGAAAATCATATAACTTTTTATAGAATCACAAAAATAACTCTTCAAACATGAAACACAATACAGAATATAATAAAATCTCATTTACAGATAGATAAATACGAAAAAAGCGGCATTTACCACTGGCCACTAAAATACTTATGGCAAACAGGTCGAACTTTTCACATAAGGTATAAAGAACATATACAGGAAATTAGGAATAATAAGAGTAATTTGGGATATTCTAACCATATACTCAACACAGGCCATGCATACAGGAGTATTATTAATACCATGAACATTATAAAAACAGAGAAAAAAGGAAAACACTTAAAACAACATTAGAAAGATCATATGAATGACACATACATTGACACATATAATCCGATATTTGAAACCCTACAAGAATTAAACACTAGATAGTAGCACACATAATCCATCTATCCTATATGATAAAGTGCCAATTCCATAAACACTCATAACAGCTGAACAACACATAAGAGGAGTCACTCAGCACATGTAAGTACACATCCAACCACACGATAAAAGCACCAGCGTACTTCATATGTGAAATATTAACACAATTACTCATACTGTTACATGTTACAGACGTACAACAACATGTGATTATAATTTTGAATTGTATTCATTGATGGAAATCCGGTAGTTTTCACCTTCAATTATCAAAGCACCTGATGATGACCATATCAGTCAAAACGTTTAGTGCAATAGTGATTTAAAAGTCAAAGTGAATTTTAAGATTTTAACTTTTAACAAGTTACATGTGAGATGGTGAAATAAGAAAACTTCTTCTAAGGTTGGCAATCTGAACACTGCAATCACTGTGGCAGCTGGCAGTCTGAATGTCAAACACATGGGTCACCTATGAATACAAAAGTATCGAAATTCACTATAACTTTAGTTCCCACAAGACATGGCAACATTAGAGAATCTGTTTGTCACATGAAGCATAGTAATATCTGATGACTAGTTGCCTCATATAACATCTCAGCACATACTGTCCCATAAAATATGGCAACATCTGAGTATTGTTGGCCCATAAAACATGACATCTGAACACTTGTTGTTCCATAAAATATTGTGATGTCTGAACAGTTCTTATCCCGCAACATCTGAACATCTGTCCTGCAAATGCAATGTGTGAACACTTTTCCCATAATTTATGACATCTGACCACCTGTCCCACAAACAGAACGATGTCTGAACACTTGTATGGCAATGATATACAGTAGAACTTGGTTATAACGTCATCAAAGGGACCTAAAAATAGTGTCGTTATAAACGAATGTCGCTGTAACCGAAATGGGCACTTCCACAGTAGCCTTATGTTAGTCACGTAAGAATCTACCAAAAAACCGAGTTAAAATGTTGCATTTTTTAGTGAAATACCTAGTTAAGTACAGACTAACGTAACATTAATGTGGAATTGCCCAAATGTGTAATATCAGAGACATATTACAGCGCTTTTCACTGACAATACACACCGCACTAATACTATACATTAAAGGTAGGCCTACTCACCAAATTACAGTAGATTACATCAATTGTTCTGCCTTACTGTACCTAGATACGAGTACAGTAATCAGTTATCTTCATCTGTTTCCTGTTACTTTCCCAATACACACTTTCTAAATTACGTTCAATGTCCATATCAGAGAAATTCAGGAATGAAAATGACGTTACATACGAGGTTGATGCATTTGTGCATGTCGTACTAAGCAAGGTATAAAAAGAGTTGCTTTATGAGGAATTAGTTCATACCATTGAATATTTGACGCAATAGACAAGGTGTCGCAGAAACCGATGTTGCTATAACCAAGTTTTACTGTATGTAGCAGCTATGTCATATGGGTCTTGAGATGCTTAGTGAGGTCTCGTTTCTCTGCATAGTCTCTATTACATAAAGAACAGTGGAAACGTTTAATGTTGAGGTGACGTAGCATGTGGTCCTTCAGCTTGTCACCACGACTGAATGCTTTATTGCATATGTCACACACGTGCTCTCTGACACCTGTGTGCGTCTGCAAAAAGAAGAAAATATTGAAAACTGTGGATTAACATGAAACTCAGAAGGCTGATATAGGTAATACTTTGAACATAATCAACAAGCTATAAGCAATATCTAAGTTGCATATCAAATTGTGTCACACTGTTTCAGAGGTTGCAATTATCATTTGGGATAATCTACTGCAAATGTTCAAGAGACTCACCCTCTGATGCACTTTGAGCTGCGAGCTGCTGATGAACTTACGAGGGCATTCAGCACACTGGTGTGGACGGTGTCCAGTGTGGGTCATGTAATGTTTCTGAAGGTAGTCCGGCCGACTGAATGTCTTTCCACACATCTGTTGATATACAAACTGTCTGTTGTCTTCTGGGTTATGACACCATGTAGTTACCCCCATCTTCTGTTCTAAAGATGAAGACAGTGTTTCTTTGAAACGCTGGTAACAACCAACCAGACTACACGGTGTCATAAGCCAGAAGACAACATTATGAATAATCTGTGTGACTGCAAAACATTTATCTTCCGATTTTTAGGTTCTTAGTTTCTGCATGTGTGTGCATGCGCACATGTGTATGTGGTTTTATGTCCCATTTATTATCTGTATGCTGTCTCCCAGACACTGAAGCTTATGAGCATAGCTGCTTTCTGTTTCATTCTGACTACAGACTTACATCGCAGACTGCACCTTTCTTGCCTCCATGTGTGTTCATGTGGCGTCGGTAGCTCAGTTTAGTCATGAAGTGCTTGTCGCAAACCACACAAGTGAAACAACCCCGGCCCCCATGCTTTGCCTGGCAGTGACCCTGCAAACTCTGCGTTGTACCAAATCTCTGTGACACAATACAAACATTGCAATTTATTCTGAAGTAAAACTGGGAATAAAAAATACTACATATAGAGAAACTAAAATGCTGCAGTGGTATGAGTTTACAGAGAGACTAATCCATCAACATGGGCACTGCCCATTGGATGGGGAGGAGTGGGGGGACAAATGTACAAACTTACATTTAAGCCATGACTTTTACTCATTTCCTACAGTAAATGGAAGAGAAGAATACATTTTTAAATAACTTTAGTGTTTTGTAAATTTCCTTATTTTTTCCAGTTATGATTTTTTAAAAAATCCAGGGGGTAGGGTTGCAGATGGCTGTACCTATGTCCACCAACCAAAACTGCAAAAAGAAACCGAACACTTATAAGCTTATAAAAGTACCTGACTAACACAGTGGAAAATTAGAAGTACAATTTATTTACGGTTTATTTAATGACACTGTCGGTAGCTCAGACTATATAACCTTGAATGACTGAATGATCAGTGAGTAATGATTTAAAATGGATGTGGCAGGAAGTGGATTTAGCCTAAAGGAAGTGTCTTTAGCCTCATTTTAGGTGCTATCTCAGAATTTGTCTGGAAGGTGTAAGGAAAACTATGAAAAAGCCAAAATCAGAGTAGTTAGTCTGTAGACTAATATTTTAACTAAGGGCCTCCTGAATATGAATCACAAATGCTACCCACTCCACTGCAACATTTGGGGCCTGTGGTAGTTGGATTAAACAGAACTGCCTTCAGTACATGGTGAGTAGGGCTGATCAAGGCATAGGAAAGTAAACTGACTGCATGGTGTTATACCTGCTGACACAAATCACACTGGCCCTGTGTGCGATGCTTCTCACTTTGGTGCACCTCAAGGCTGCATGCGGATTCAAAAGTTTTGTCACACATCTCACAAATAAATATGGCTGTCCCAGTGTCTGCTTCTCCATCCTTGGCTTCTTCTTTACCATTCTTTTCAACTTCTGTGGGCTCAGGATGTGCAGCTGGGGGTCCCACTTCTGATGCTACAGTAATACGCATAACATTCGTTGCTGCACCACTGACATCATCACAGTCCTTAGTATCTTCTCGCTCATATGTCTGCAACACCAAAGACTCCACCTCCTGCTGAGAACCAAATGCTACTTTAAATGAATTAGACAAAACACCAGGTGGATTAGTGATCATAAACGGTTTCAAATTTGTAACTGCAACAATCTTCAATGCAGTCTTGGCACCTGAATCTATAATAGTTTCTGTGGTGCTCTGATGCTGCTCTGCTGTCCTGTCTATGGCTTCAACAGTTACCAGTTCAGTCCCTGTAAGTGAACCAGGTGGGCTTTCCTCTTCTACAGTAGGACTACAGTCATCCCCTCTAACTACACTCCCATTGATACATGGCTTAATTAGAACTGAATCATCATTACTGACAGCAGTGGAAACTTCTGATACAGGTGCTGCAACAAAGCTGTGATTGGAAATGGCAGCCAATGATGCAGGGTGACAGGTCACAATGATGTCTGTTGTCGTACCCATTGCTTTGCTTTGTGCGATGAAACTGGTACTTATTTCGCCCTTCAGTTCTCTCCATTCATCATCAACCAGTTCTAGGGAATCATCTGTTTGTGTAAACACACAAGCCTCAACCAAAGAACCAAGCTGCTCAGAGACATTCGAAGTAGGTGCATTGTGCAAGTTTACTTCAATTAAATTTGTTTCTTCTGTAGTTTGTGTACTGATCTCTCGGTTGTATTCATGACCAGGAAGAGAAGGAATCTTCAGCAGCACACTCTGAAGTGAATCAAGAAATGACATATACAGACAATAAAAGCATAAAGTGATTAAGAAATATGTCACAATTTTATCATACCTTAGTAGTGTATAATCAAAAAATGCAGAATAATAAGTTTTATAAAGTTACAGCCATTTCTCTTTACAAATAAGTTTTATTTGCGAAATATTTTATTACATTAGTTATCTAAGTACCTGAAGGCTTTTTATAAACTGGAATAGCAGAGATTGGTATTTTATTTGTACTGCAAAATCCACGGCAGTTCCCTGGAGCTGAACGGAGTATGTAGTTAGAAGACCACATTCTGCCAACTGTAAGCAATCGATATTAACACCAGAATTATAATTCTCTACATTAATATGAAGGAAACAGAATAACAAAAATCGAGCAATAATAACCCGTTATTTACTTTACGTCAAGATTAAAATTTATGTACCATCTGTCACAGGAAGTCTTACATTTTTCTACAAACATAACCTTATCTGCGTTTAACAATTTACGTACCCCTTTGAAAAAGAACTCCAACACTTTTGCAAGTTCGGTGAGTGACTCGGTTGTCGCAACCGTTACCATTGTTGTTCCTTAGATATATTTACTTCCTCCTTCGTGTACACCATTGCCATGAACGACTTGAGGAATGAAGAACTACATTACTTCAATTCCTAGGCGGCCATGCTTTAATACACATCAATGTAGCCAATACAAGAAACCCATAGTGCACAACTTTTACATTTAATACCATAAATTACTGTATCTTAAAATAAATTAATAAATATTCGTACATATCTTATTTATTTACTTCACTATCATTATTTCTGTATTTAATCTCATTTCAAACAAACAAGGATATGATATACCCATGACGTTGTCAAACATGGGTCTAGCCTAAAAGACAGCTGAATACGAAATCAATAATGACATTTTTGACAACGAAGGTGTGAGCTACATCGTTATTCGCATTGTACAAGCAAAAATGCCTGTAAGTATTGTTCCGTAATAAGAAGTAGATTTCGAAAGGAAAGGGCACGAAGTCAGTGCATGAAGATTATACTGGCAGGAAAATGTAGAGAGAGTTCCCTAGATCCTTGCTTGGGCCAAACCAAATGATTTAGAACCTGTCAGTAAAAAAAAAAAAAAACCTGCGTGTGGTGAGTGGATGTACATTTCCACATTTTTCTTGACCTCTGCACTAGCTGGAGGTGAGTGGTCAGTTTCACGCCGCGGCCGCTTTACCCCCGGAGAAAGAGCCCCCAGTACCTATTGGATAGGTTTTATGGACCCCAGAGCCTGTCTGGACACTGTAGAGAAGAGCCTTTATCAGAGGAATTCTTCATTATGCAATTCCCTATATTGCTCACTGCTTCATCCATCTGAGGTCCAAAGCAGTTTGTTATCAGACTTTTGTAATCCCATTTTAAGAGCTGATGGAAATTGAAGCTGTATATGGCAGTTGCCTGTGATAATGTAGCAATTATGAATTTTGTTGTCAGATGTGTGAAGATGGTGAAGTAGAAAATGTGCGAGTGGTTGTGCGTGTGCGACCACTCAGTGAAAAGGAAGTTGAAGCAGGCTACCGACAGATCACCAAGGTTGATACTGTCAACAAGACCATCTCTGTGGAGAATCCACAGGCAGCAGAAGGAGAACCACCAAAGACTTTCACATTTGATATTGTTTTTGACACAGATTCAAGACAGGTAAGTTGTTGTTTTTGTTTGTTTGTTTGTTTTTTGTTGCTGCTATCCCATTGCCACATTGCTATATGCCAGATTACTTTTTTGCTAATTTATTATTTGTTCTTTTAACAATATTATTAGTTTCTAGAATTATATAGTGTTAAGTAATAGTAGAATGTTTAGTAATTAATGATTTGAAAATTGGGTGGAAGGAAGTGACTGTCGCCTAATTTGAGGTTCTGTCCTAGATTTTGCCTGGAAGGACTGAAGAAAATCATAAAAAAATATCAGCCAGAACAGCTGGTTTCTGATTCAGGATTTTAACTCAGTGCCTTAGCTTTGCCAGTTTTCTGAATAAGTTCTTCGAAGCATGTTTTGAATGATTCCTTACCCAGTCATCCAGTTCAACACTGAATAACACCTGAAGCTGATATAATTTCATTAATGACATATGTATCAGCTAACAGTTGAAAAGATTGAATAAAAATATCTTCTGGGATGTGACATGACGGCTGGTAGAACTGCACATACTGTCCTAATTTTCAGGCCTGAAGTAAGCCAGGCTAGCAGCAGACTACCCTTTGACCCTGAAGATGGAGGCAATATGTTCCTCTGAAATGTCATTGAACTTCCATCATAGTACTGAATATAACACCCTAGAAGATATTACTGCACTTTTCGTAGTGACCATTATGAGATTCTCAGATCCAGCAGTTGATAATATTATATTCTCGGTTGTAATGCCATGTAGTTCAGAGAAAACCTGGCGTTTCACAGGAACATATTGCTTCCTTCTTCGGGGTCGAAGAGTAGTCCTGCTTATGAACAGTTCAGCTTGCTGCCTGCTTCTACTGGTGTCTTGTAGTTACAAGTTATAAGTATTCAGTAAATCCAATTGTCAAACCACACTCCATGTCTCGTCACTAACATTTAACAATATTTCAATTTTGTAGATGGATGTGTATAATGAGACTGCAAGACCAATTGTGGACAAAGTGTTGATGGGGTACAACGGTACAATCCTGGCCTACGGGCAGACAGGCACAGGGAAGACATTCACTATGCAGGGAGACTGCACAGCCCCAGAACTGAAGGGAATCATTCCAAATTCATTTGCGCACATATTTGGTTCTATAGCTAAAGCAGCAGAACGTAAGAAGTAAGTAAAATTTGTAGTAGCATTTTCCTGAAAAGGATGCATCCTCTTCCTGTCAGCTTCTATTGAAATATTTATAACTAGACAGCGTTATAATAAACTAATTTTAATATCTCTGTCTGTTGTACTACAGTCAGATCCTATGTTGTTCAAGGCAGACTTCCACTAACAGTTCTTCGTTGTTTTGAAAATGTCCCCAAATAACCCACATATTAAGATGTTCCTTGGCTTAATTACCATGCCATTAAGCATACAGAGGGAACCATGTGTTCATGGTCTCTGTCAGGAATATGAAAAGGTTAATGGTTTTTTTAATGTAACTCATTTGTATTTCAGTGAAGTAAAGAGCAAAAATAATGACTGTCACTTAACTTACTTTTGACTGCCAGTCCAATAAGAACCTTTGCCTCCTTCACAGCAGATGCCTGTTTTTTTTTCTGTTATTTGCCTATTCTCACCATCCCTTCACTTTCATCTCTTATAAATCATTCTCAGCATCTTCCAGACAACTTAATCTTGCCTTCCTAATCTTCTTGAGTTGCAATCTCTGTTCCCACCAGAGCGGACAAAATACATTGCAGAACGAGGCACCGGCCAAACAGTTAATATCAAATAATACTACACCTATACCATGGGCCTCCAAGCAGTTTACTATATGTATACCAGTCTTTAATATACCATTATATTTCCGCTGGAACATAACAACAAGATTGCAACGACTGACTTCATAATATGACATATCACATGAAGAGTTTTTAACCATATCTTATTACATAACTTTCATTTTATAATAATCTTATCAGTCATTGTATTTTTATACCTTGTATTTTATAGTGTAACATAGTTGTCAAGCATCCAGTTCTACTGTCACAACGAAATGCGGTTCAATAGTGTGTGAATATGATAACCATGTATTTTGCCTGATGATGGCTTTAAAAGCCGAAACATGTAGCTATGGTAATGTTGACCTTGATCATTATGTTGTTGTGTTATGAGGGATTCCAGTAAAGAATTGTTCCTAATCTTCTCTTGCCTTCTGGCTTACTTTAAAAAATGTTCTTAGCCACTCTTGTTTGATCCATTTTAATCACATGCCCCAACATCTCAAACCTTCTCTTTTTTTCTTCTTCTTTTTTTAATATTCACTGTGAGATCATGAGTTTTATATAATGCTGTCGGTTCTAAGTTAGAGCTGATTCTTCAAATCCTTTTGTTGTATTGTATTGTATTTACGAGTATTACACGTTCCAGCACCTCCATACAAGGCTGAAGCAATTGGATACAGAACCTGTCACACCACAAGCTTGCTAAATCAGCAAGCAGTCAGCAGAACAATGCACATAAATCCCTACACATCACTGCAACTACATAACGTACCATGTGTATATAAAATATAATACAAAATCGGAACATATACATGACAATAGATCAAATAATGGGTCATAGCTAAACAAGAAACTGTACCTAATTAAAATATTCATCTAAAGGCTAATAGGATTTAGTATGTAAAAAAACACTTAAACCTGCTCTAAATTGCTTAATATTATGAATTAACTCTTATATTTAAAGGAAGATGATTAAAAAGTTTTATACCAAAATAGTAAGGTCATCTCTGGTAAGTTGTCAAATTTGTCTGAGGGTGATAAAGATCAAAATTACGCCTAGTATTAAGGCCATGAATTTGTGATGTCGTGTGATATAAACCCATATTATTCACAACAAACATCAATGAAGAAAATATATATTGGGACTGCAATGGCAAAATTCCCCAATCCCTAAATGCATCTCTGCAAGAGTCCCTAGATCTCAACCCACTCATGGCTCTAATTATTCTCTTTTGAATTCTGAAAATGTGCATACTATAAGAAGAATTACCCCAAAAAATAATTCCATAAGACTAAAATGAATGGAAATAAGAGTGATAAAACCATTTTTAATGTCTCTGTGGGCATAATGGGCTTGATCACCCTCACTGAGTAACAAGCCTTGCACAATTTAGGCATGAGTTGAGATATATGAGCTTTCAATAGCTAATCCCAAAAATTTCATATTTGTACTGTTCAAAATCACATTATTATGATAATTAACAGAAGTTACACTATTAGAACTTGGCTTTTTCATAAATTGAACATGTTTAGTGTTGTTAAAATTTAGAGTTAATAAGTTTGAATTAAACCAATCATTAAGATAAGCAATGGATATATCAACATCATTTCTGTATTGTATATTATTATAACTATTAATAATTAAACTTGTATCATCTGCAAATAAAACTGATTTGACTGAGTTATTAAAAATTTTAGGTAGATCATTTATATAAAAGAGAAAAAGAAGTGGACCAAGAATGGACCCCTGTGGGACACCATACAATATCCCAACTAGAGGTACCAACATAACTCAAGTTGGTGCTTGATCTCTCTGACATCTATCAGATAAATAGGATGTAATTAAATCATGAAATTTACCATCTATTGCATAAAATTGAAGTTTCTTCAATAAAATCCCATGATTAACACTATCAAAAGCCTTTTTTAATTCACAGAAAATACCACCTACGATTTTTTGCTGATTTAATGCTTCTTTTATTTCATTAATTAATACATAGGAAGCTTTAGTAGTTGAAGATTGTTCATTAACTATAATATTATGGCCATAGACATGCTGATTCAGTCTGAAAAATATAATCCTCTCGAAGATTTCTGAAAAGGAAGTTAAAAGGGAAATCGGTCTGTAATTAGTAGGATCATTTTTACAACCACCCTTAAAGAGAGGCTTAATCTCAGCATATTTTAGCCTATCAGGAAAAATACCAGAAGCTAGCATTTTATTGCTGATATAAGTTAGTGGTGAAATAATAAATGGAGAACTAATTTTTAGAACTTTAACTGATATTTCATCATAGCCATGAGATCCTTTTGTTATTAGAGATTTAACAGTTTTAGACATCTCAGTAGATGTTACGGTATGTTATTTTATACTAGGGAAAGGATGATTTAAAGCTTGTTGCAAGTAATATAATGGTTTATTATTAATTTTAAAATTTGTATTTATATTATTTTCAACCACAGATAAGAAGAAACTATTCAAGGAATCTGCTATATCTTGTCTATTACTAATAACCTCTCCATTAACTTTTAATTCTTGAATTGTGTCTGCTTCAGTTAACTTCCCAGTTAATAGTTTTGTAATATCCCAGACAGTTCTTATTTTATTACTGGAATTTAATAACTTTTCTCTGTTACTGGTCTGTACACCTCAGATTTTTCCTTTCCCATGTACTTAACATTAATATAGCATTTGTGTTACAGTGTAACAAGATATGAAGGTTGTTCTGTGGGATAGGTTTTTGGTCCGTGTGGCACACATTGAGATATATAATGAAGAAATTCGGGACCTGCTGGGGAAGGACCAGACTGCTCATCTCGAGGTAAAGGAGCGGCCTGATATTGGGGTGTACATACGAGATTTGTCAGGATATGTGGTGAACAATGCTGATGACATGGAGCGAATCATGACTCTTGGAAACAAGAACAGTGAGTAGATTTCGGCCTTCCAGTTAGTTGCAGTGAATCATTAGAATTTTTCTTTATTGCTAGTGGGGTGGGACCAAGTCCCTTGTACTGCGGCCACTTCTGGCCTATTGTACCAGCCCCAGATGATAGGTGAGGGTGATTGTGGGGCAATTGGTGGAATGAAGATTGGCAGGGGAAACCGAAGTACTCAGAGAAAACCTGCCCCAGCAGCACTTTATCCAGCACAAATCCCACTTGACCAGACCCAGGATCGAACCCAGGCCACTGTGGTGGGAAGCCAGTGACTTACCGCTTGAGCTATGGCGCGGCCAATCTTTAGGATAACTTCCAGTCTTTCATTTTAGTGTGCTCACAAGAATATTTGCAACAACAACAACAACAACAACAACAACAACAACAACAAAGTTGCTCTCATTAACTTTGCCACTTCTGTATCCACAGTGTAACAGTTCAATAACTGCCAAACACATTTCTGTTAAATTTGATGTTAAGGAAGAAAGTTGTCTTCTGGGTTTAGGCACCGTGTATTCTTCGTTTTGGCCGACGTTTCGGAGGAACATAGCGCCTCCATCTTCAGAGCAGTTGAATAGCTGCGGAGAGCAGTAGCTACTGCTCTCCGCAGCTATTCAACTGCGTCGGCCAAAACGAAGAATACACGGTGCCTAAACCCAGAAGACAACTTTCTTCATTGTCATCGCCGTGAAAACCTCAAAACTTACATTGATGTTAAGGAGTTTCACAAAAATTTGGCAGAACATTACAGTTTTCATGAAAAGTCGATATTAATGAGGGACACTTACATGAAGACCTACATTATGAAGAGAAGTGGCTCTTTATAGTATATAACTATTAATTTACAGTTCTTGTTAACCTTGTTATATGGTTTTTAAGTCATAAGATTAACCATCATACAAATGTATATTACAGGTATTTCTTGATTTTTATTTTCAATTGTAAATCTCTACAGCTATGGATGAAATAAATAATAATAATAACTATATGCTACATGTATGATTTGAGGTTCTCACAGTGGTAGTTGTGAAGAGTTATACATATATACCGTGATATAACGCTGTGTAGTCCGTTGGAAGTCAGCTGACATTTCAGAAGTTTGCTACCTTGTTCATGCTTGTTTCCATGCTTGGCTTATTCTTCTACCCTGAAGATGAATGTGACACATTCTGCCGAAATATCTGTTGACTTTCAGTGGTGTACTTGGCATAATATCCCAGAAGATAAAACTCTTTGTATGCTATGTGTTTTGACTGTAAATGGCCATCACCAGATGACATACACACATTAGCCAAAAATGTCTAAACTGTAAGTACGAATTTCGTTAAAACATGAAAATGTATAAGAATATGGAGGAAATAATGAATTAGGTAAGATCATGCTTTATTTTACATGGACATATGTTTAAAATTCACAATATTTGTCCCAGTACAAACATTCACTATCTTTTCTCCATTATTAGATATGAAGTTTTATCATATCAAAATATAATACATAATATGGCATTTCATGCACTTGTGTTATATATTTATCTTCCATGTATGGTCAGTCATTGTCAGTCCAAAGCAAAACCACACTTTGTGTTTGTAAATTAGCTTGAGTGTTTGGAGTAGTGTTTCTTGCCATATAGACTGAATCAGCTAAAGGGAAGTTGGCATCATAAGTTCTTCCCAGATCTTTTTTTTGTACCTAGCATTTTGACGAACAGTAACTATTTTTGAGGAAATGCATCTATGCAGATGCTGGTTAGTTTGCTTCTTATTTAATAATATTTCAGTGGCAGAGATTATTTTGCTTCAAATGAAATTCAAGTGATTATACATTATGATTCTGAAAGAATCTAGGAGAAAGCAGTTGTGACCTATTCTAAAATACCAGCATTTGCCAGCAATGAATGATAACAGTGAAAACATCGAGTTGACTCATGTGGTAAGTCTTCTGATCGAGGTTTCTCATGATCTTCCTCATTCCACTCAGGTAAATGTTGGGGTGATACCTTAAATTAAGGCATGAATGCTTCCTTCCACATCCTTTACAATTTATTATGCATTATTGTGACATGTTTTCATTATCTGTTATGTGGTAATGGCTTGATAAACACGTGTGTGGCAACAACAATTAAAGACATTGTTAGAAATGATGTTCTCTATAAGGTCCATCACCAGCAGGTACGAACGTGAGCACAGAAGCAGAGGAATATGCATTGTTAGACACCATTATAAAGCAACAAATACGTGAACACATAGAAATCTTAGCATGTGCTGTAATGATTTGCAGTACCATTTTGTACTATATACCTTTAGTTACTGACACTGTCATTGAATAAACTACAAGCCAAGTCAGTCAGTCATATCACCATCCGGGATATAAGATGCTAAAAGGAAACTTATTTTCAGTTTCTTGTAAGGTGTCCTGAGTGCAATTGGAATGTGTTGCTTCTTTTGTGCAACAGGGGTGGTGGGAGCTACTGCCATGAATACTCAGAGTTCCCGTTCTCACGCTATCTTCACTATTACAATTGAGAATGGAGACATGGGGGAAGATGGCAAACAGCACATCAAGATGGGAAAGCTCCACCTTGTTGATCTGGCTGTAAGTATTAGTCATCAGCAGCAGTAAGGATGTGTTAGTCTGATTCCAGCTTGAAGTTCTTCTGTTTATAACTTCCTAAATTCATATTTGTCTCTTTTATAACATATCTGAGGGTGCTGTGCCTTTTCTGTAAATCCTGTAATTACTAGATTAAATTTTCAACATATTTCTGGCACCAAAATTACTGCACTGGAGATCTTGTTGAACACACAGGACTTTTGTACTGTTGTTATGCCTTCAGAGATGTGTCAGACAGACAGTATTGAATCTGTGTGCTTCAGAAATAGTCATTAACTACATATGACCTATTTCATATGATTTGTTAGTTTTATTCATATTTATTTATTGACCAGGGTTCTGAGCGGCAGAGTAAGACAGGTGCCACAGGAATACGTCTGAAGGAAGCGACCAAGATCAATCTCTCCCTTTCCACACTTGGCAATGTCATATCTGCACTGGTTGATGGGAAGAGCACGCACATCCCATACCGCAACTCAAAGCTGACACGACTGTTGCAGGACTCACTTGGGGGAAATTCCAAGACTGTTATGGTTAGTGTCACCTGATTTTTACTGTTGACGTTTAAATGTCAATTCAAATCTGTGGGCCTGTGAAAGATGAAATGCGTTGACAACTTAAGGTATTACCTAACAAAGATCTTTGTGATTAATACAGATTACATAGTAATGTTACAACATTTGTCCTGGAGGTTGTGATAAACCTAAACACACAATTAAGTGTTACGGCCTACTAATTATGTTGCTCTTGACATCTTTGAATGTGATTCACCATTTCCTCTTGTGCCACAAGTGACTGAGTGAGATTGCCAGAATTCCAAAGTCTGTCTCCTGAATGTCTAGTGGGAAATTGGTCATCACCTAAAATTTGCAGTCAGGTGACTATTTCTTAACCTTTGCTTCTGAGATTTTGTGTTTTGATAGTAAAAATGGGTTTTAATAACAGATTTAGCAAAAGACACTCTGAAATAAAGTTGAGGATTTGCTATGGTATTACTGAACACGTTAATATAGCAATAATGGCATGGACTTTTATTCAAGAAGTATCTAGTTCAAATCTGGGTCAGGGTTGCCAGCTATCCTGCCTGAGGTTCTTCAAGGTTGTCCACAGTCCACCCAAGCAGGTTCCAGTTGAGTTCTCCCACATTTCATGCAGTTTCTTATTCTCAACCGCACAGCTTTCACTGCTGTGTTACTTTATTAATTGAGACAGCATAGTGAAATAGCTAAGTGCACAAAGAACTAATATTAGTCCTCTTGATCATATACAGTGTGCCAACATAGGACCAGCAGATTACAACTATGATGAAACCATCAGTACATTACGCTATGCAAACCGAGCCAAGAACATTAAGAATCGTGCTCGTGTGAATGAGGATCCAAAGGATGCTCTGTTACGACAATTCCAGTCAGAGATCGAGGAGCTGCGGAAGCAGCTAGAAGATGTTGGTGTACCCCACAATGGTAAGGAACTTACTGACCTCTGCTAATGAATGAGGATGGTACTGGCAGTTATCTTTTTTGTGTTCCAGCACCATTTCCTTTCTGTTTGGATCAACGGACAAAAGATCTCCACAATTTTGTTTCTCCCTACAGTCTGTACTTTTCTGTTTCTTGCCAGCTCTTTCCTCTTTTCTGGATGTTGTCCAGTACCTGGCTGAACCATCTTGTTCAGGAATATTTTGAATTCCACAGCCTCAAATAATTTCATTTCATTTTTGAAAATACAATTTCATGCTGGCTTGTTATGACTGAATAAATATCTTTGTTGCAGGAATTGCAATGGAGGGTGAAAGTGACTCAAGCGAGGGCAGTAAGGATGGGGAGAGGACCCCTAAGGAGCACAGGGACAAAGACTACAACAACCAGATTCAAACGATGGACCACTTGGATGACCTTGAATTGCAAGTACGAGTGTATGAATGAAGTGCCACTGGAATAAACGGAGGCAGTCTGGTATAATCCACAACAAAGTGGCAGTTACTAGTAAATCTGCAGCTGTTGATTTTAGTGTTGGACACATCTGTTTATATGTAACAAAATGTTCAGATTGTCACAAATAGATATGCCTTGTTTACATCAATGACATTTATTTTAGTACCAATGAACATCACAGATAAGTGGGTAGCACGCCTGTGTCTAATTGAGAAGATCCTGTGTTCTAATCTTGTCCAAAAGCTGACTGTCCTGGCTGAGTATTTTTATGCTAGATCTACATCAAATGCGTAACTGACTTATCTCATTTAATCATTCTTACATATTACATTCAGGATTTTGTAAATCTTACTGAGAGAGGGCATTCTGTTGCAGCTGGAGGAGTTTGAGACAGCTCCAAAGAATGAGCGTGAAAGTGAAGGTGATGATGATGAAGAAGAAGAAGAAGGTGGGAAAGAAGGAAAGGACAACAGTGATGAAGAGAAACACCAAGTAGAATTGAAGAAAACACAGTGAGTTGCCAGATTTAAATTGTGGCCTTAGAGATATTGAAGTTAAAACCATAAAATTTAGCTTTCAGGCCTAATTTACCAGCTTTTTCTATCCAATTTATACCTTTGCATGCCACAGTATTCCTTATCAACACATTTTTTTAAAAGTAGCAGTTCTTTTAAAATATATATTTATATATATTAGGCATATACAAGTAAATCCAACCAAATTTTGCAGTCAAGCAGGTAACACTAGTACCCCATATTTTGGATGTCTCAGGTTCAGATCTCAGGCCAGAGACCAGTTATCCTAAATGAGATTTCTCATGATATTTCTCAGTCCCTCCAGGCAAATAACATGATAGTATCTCAAACAAGGCCATGGTCAATTCCTTCTATATACTTTCCAATTTATTAATCACAAGTCATACTATGATTCAGCACTGTATGAGCTATTGAAAATTTCATTAAATAAAATATAAATTAATAAAATGTAAACTTCCCTGAGCACTTATCACATCAGACTACTGGCAGCTTTGTTTCAGGAAAAAAACAGCTTGTAGAAAATATGAAATTTATGGATGTAGACATAAGAGGTGTAGTGTTTGCAGTAGGTTGATACATCTTAAGTGTAGCAGTCAGTGGAGAGTTGCCTGCATTCCTTGCATAAATGTGGTACAAACAAGAATGGTGTGTTTAATGTTTAGAAATGAGCATGACATTCTCAGGGAGAAGCTACAGAATTTGGAGAAGAAGATTCTGGTGGGAGGAGAGAATCTGCTGGAGAAAGCTGAAGTGCAGGAACAGCTGTTGGAGGCATCTGCCCGTGAACTGGAGCAGCGCCGCCGCAAGGAGGAGCAACTGCGACAAGCGTTGCAGCAGAAAGAGGTACAAGAAGTTTAATAAGTTTCAGGACACAGTGTTGTTTCACCACCAGCAAGCAAGGGGAACTCACAGTGAACATTGTCACAACCAACTGGTTAGCACTCCTGCTTAATATTTTGGAGGTCCTAGGTTCAATTCTTGGCCCAGAAACTGGATATTCTGACTGCATAAGTGTATCATGGTTTTCCTTAGTCCATCTAGGCAAATGGCTGATTCCTACCACGTCATTTCAAATTCATTAACCACGAAGCATCTTATTATTAAACACAATATAGCAGTATTTCTGGACCTTACTTCTGTTCTTACAGTGACATTTCACATGCTCCTTTTCTGTGATGACATAATTTTTATCTCAAACTGTGTTATCATGTATTATGAATGTGACAAGATGAAGGGATTTTTCTAATTTAAACATGCTTTACTTTTTCTGTGCTCAGAAAAGGTTGTACAAAGAAAGTTGTCAAGACATTCGTTAGGCCTTTTTGACCTGTATTTGACAATGTGTGAAATATATCTTGCATATCCTCATATGCAAGATATACCCTGGTTCATAATGTTACTACAATTCAATAGTTATCAAATACACTGAAGAGTACTGTTTACTATATTATATTTAAGCATTCTGTTGCACTATATACTTCTTTGTGTCATAATACAAATGCCGTCGTGAATGGAACAGTTTATTTGGTTGTAAATCTTTGTCTGTTCTTCCTGTACACTACATGTTTCGGCTGTAATTGGCCATCATCAGGTGTATTTTTTCACTACATAGCTGTCACACTGCACACAGTCCAAAATCTAAAACATCAGCCTGTCAGTTTTTTTTTAAATCTCGCCAACACATGCTCGTCAATTTGATTTTAGAATTACAGTTTAAAATTTAAAGTTCAAAATTTAAAGTTCAAAATTTAAATTTTTAAATACCAGGGACACCTGCTCTTGTCTACATGTGCTGCAGTGGCTATTTCTTGTTTTCAGCACCTTTCATATATTATTCTGTGCAGGTTCCCTGTGTGTGTGTGTCGCTGCCCATCTTTAATACTTTTGTCCAGTATTAGCCTGCACAGAATAATGCATGAACGGTGCTGAAAACAAGAAATAGCCACTGCAGCACATGTAGACAAGAGCAGGTGTCCCTGGTATTTAAAACTTTAAATTTTAGAAATTTTAAATTTTAAACTGTAATTCTAAAATCAAATTGACGAGCATGTGTTGGAGAGATTTAAAAAAAAACTGACAGGCTGATGTTTTAGATTTTGGACTGTGTGCAGTGTGAGAGCTATGTAGTGAAAAAATACACCTGATGATGGCCAATTACAGCCGAAACATGTAGTGTAGAGGAATAAAAGATAAAGATCTACAACCAAATAAATTGTTGCATTCATGATGGAATTTGTATTATTACATATAGCACTGAAGAGATCAATAATTTTAAGGCTTGTGTGTCACACTTGGAAGACCTAGCTAAAGCAGGGTGGATAATATAAAAATTGATCTTGATGAAGTGGGGCGGAGGAGAGTGTGGACTGATTCCATGTGGCTGAGGATAGGGTCCAGTGGCAGGCTCTTGTGAACAAGGTAATGAAACTTTGGGTTCCCTAATATATTGCAGATTTTTTGACCAGCTGTGTGACTGTTAGCTTCTAAAGAAGGACCATACTTCATTGAGTAAGTCTGGTGCTTATAGCTGATTTCTTATGTAGGCAGAGCTGATTGACATCGAGGAGCGATACTCTACACTCCAAGAGGAGGCAGCTGGCAAGACAAAGAAGCTGAAGAAAGTGTTTGGCATGCTGATGTCTGCAAAGGCAGAGCTAAGTGACCTGCAATATGAGCAGCAGCGTGAGATGGAGGGACTTCTGGACAGCATCCGCAGTCTCACGCGTGAGCTGAAGCTCCAAGAGACAATTATTGATGCCTTTATTCCTCACCAGTATCAGGCAAGTCATAAATCCTCTCTTCTTTTCATATTAATTTTGCATAGAGTTCACCTGCTGTCATCCACCTGGCCTGTCTGCATCTACTATCCATCACTTTGGACAAGTACACAGTTCTTATTCTTATTCTCCTCCTCCTCCTCCTCCTAGCATTATTTCCACTTTACATGGGTTGATAGATGAAAAGTTTCCAGCCTCTTCCTTCTTTCCTCATTCCTTCCTTTTTGATTTCTTGCCAGCTCTTTCCTCTCTTCCTGACATCTTCCAGTATCTGGTTAAACTCTCTCATTCTGGGTCACCCCAAATGTCTGTAGATCTGCTCTGAAACCATGGTTTTAGGATAGATCTCTTGAGGGGTCAAACAGGATAGATTTTCTTTTGCATCCTCTTAGCTGGATGATTGAAATAGAACCTGTTTCCAGAGTGTGGTGATTTCAATAAACTTAGGTGACGGATGAAGTCTAAAATAATATCTTTGACCTTGTAAAGCACAGTGGTATCAATATGAACCACCTGGTTTGACATTTAAATATTCTTGAATTGTGTTCACACAGTACAGTTATGTTTTTCATGTGACTCTCTCAGTAAACAATGATAATTTCTCTGAACAGTATTAACTGATCAGCTCTTGCTTGAAGATGCACCATGTTCTCTGTGAGGTAGAAACTAAGGAACGAACTGTGTGACTGACTCTGTGGAACTGAGTCCTTCTTGAGAAGCCACTCAAGAAATTCCCAGCATGTTATGGAATCCAGAGGTTCATTACTGTATTCACAAGAGCCTTCCACTAGTCCTTATCCTTAGCCTGATGAATCCAGTCCACACCCCCTCATCCTCTTTTTCTAAGATCCGTTTTAGTATTGTCCCATATATATCTAGATCTTCTTAGTGGTCTCTCTTTTTCAGGATTTCCTGTCAATACTCTGCACATTTCCCCATGCATACTACATGCCCTGCTTATCACATACCCCTTGAGTTGATCATTCTAATAATATCTGTTGAGAAGTACAATTTATGAACCTCGTTATGCAGTTTTCTCCAGTATTGATATATGAACTGAATTTATAAACTTTTTTAGAAGAATGTCAAGCTTCGAAAGTTTAAACAACAAAAAGCTTTAAGGACAGATTAAAATATCTCCTGAAATGATGTCACAGTGAGCCACTATGTGGCTTTGCGCTTCATATGTTAACCACTGTGTGTTGCAAACTTTGTGTGCAGGAAATGCTGGAGAGATATGTGCACTGGAATGAGGACATTGGTGAGTGGCAGCTGAAATGTGTTGCCTACACTGGCAACAACATGCGCAAGACACTGCCTGCACACTCCTCTGGTCAGGGAAGGGAGGTGAGTCATGCTTTATGTCTGCCTTGCCTTTAGCTATGAAATGGGAAATGAGCCTCATGCTATTGAGATGCTTCCATGTTTATACATTTAACTTTCTTAAGTACCAATATGATCACAAAACAAATTTGGAGATTGGAGCAACAGTATGTGTTGTATTTATTTAGGTACTATGGTTTATTTGATATTATCATCAGTATTTTGGACTTTATGGCTTCAAATTATAAGAGTGAATATTGAATTAGAAAGTATGTGAATGAAAGTGATCATGGACTGATTTGAGGTAGTCTTGTGGGACTGAGAAGAAACATGAGAAACCTCAAACAATACGAGTATAA